CCATCTCAACAACTACAACCACACCAACCACCGCAACTACCACTACCACCACATTACAGTTGCGGCTTAAAGTTGAACCTGGACTACCTGCTTGAAAAGTTGTGGGAGTATCTGGCTCTTATAAGAGTCTACACGAAAAAGAGAGGAGGTACGATGACGATGATGATGATGATGATTGTAATGATGATGACGATGATGATGATGACGATGATGATAATGATGATGATGATGATAATAATAATACTCATGATGTTGATGACGATGGTACAACCATGCAGAACGACCAGACTTCGATGGTGGATTGATCTTAAGATCCGGCTGTACAGTTGAACATACGGTATGTAGTGTACGCTTGTGTGTACGGTTGTGTATGTATGTACATACATGTATGTGTGTGTGTGTGTGTTTTGTATACAACAATATGTGTGTGTACATAGTTATTGGTGCACATTGCACATGTGTTTATATAATCACCAAACAATATATACCCTTGATTGGTTTTGGTTCGTGTACTCTACTATACACATGTACGCTTCATACTTTCGTACATTCAGAAATGTGTTTAGTTGTATGCACTGAAATATATAGGGTGTTTTAGTACGTGTGTAAGTGCCTGTGAGTATGTGTGTAGATATTTTTGTATTAGCGTGCGTGTGTGTGTGTGTGTACGCGAGTATGAGTGTACGCGAGTATATGTGTATATGTTTTGTGCGGTGTATCTATTGGATGAAGCTTTGCTAATTTATAAGAGCTTAACAAGGAAGAAATTATAATTCATAGTCTCTAGTAATTGCAGTGATGTGTGCATCTATGTTTTATACTATACTCTGTGCACGTGTGTGTGTGTGTGTGTGTGCGTGCGTGCGTGTGTAATGGCAAATATACTAATGTATACATAAAATGATTTACTAACCACCAAATTAATTACAATACCCTACATTTCAACTAATTGTTTCCCTTAGTCCTACTGTACTATTTCTATTACTACTACTACTACTAATATTATTTTTATTAATATTGTTATTAATTATAATTATTTTTATTGTTATTAATTATTATTATTATTATTACTGTTGTTCAGTGCCACGTTGTACACAGGCAGTTGGTGGATCAATTTAAATATGCACTTGTGTGGGTTAGTGGTGATGATGACGAAGATGATGATGGTTCTGATAATGATGACGACGATGGGGATGATGATGATAAGGGTGGTGATGTTAGTAATTATTGGCTAATTATGTTTCTACATCCGGATTATCATTCCTTTAAATTTTATTCCACATTCATTATTGCGTTAAATCTTTTTAAGTTAAATTACTGTAAAATTGGTCGTCTGATCCGTGAGATGTGTCAGCTGTCCTTTTCCTCTTTCATACAAATTATTTCAATCTTTATAATTATATTATAACTTGCGATTTAACTTCATTTCAGTCATTTTTATAGCGTGATTCAGTGTCATAATTATCGCCCATAATAGTTATTATAATTATTATAACTCTCGAAAATGTCGTCATAATTTTATCGTCGTTTTCGTCGCCAGGGAAGCAGCGTCAAGTACAGCCCACAACGAGTCGGCCTCAGTCACGTAATGAGTCACGACGACGTCATTCAGATTGTCAAAAAATAGTATTTGCTTGTACAAAGTTTATCGAGTTTTTAGTAACATTATTATTATTATTTATTTATTTATTTGTTTGTTTTTGTTTTGAAAATTTTCAAGTAAATAAATGCTAATGACGGTTTTATTTAATCGTACTGTCGCATTTTGACCAAACTCAAAAGATGAGAGTATTTGTTGAAGAATTCACGTCCGAGTGTTTGTTACTGACCGATCGATAGTTTCTTTTAACTGGTACCATGAATTAGTATTCATTGTTAGTTGTGTTTTTTAGTTGCGTTTTTCGCAAGTTCAATTTCTAACCGGGCACTTTTCGTATGGTAGGCGTTTTTTTTATACTTGTTGATAACATTTTAAGTTTTGAATATCAGAACACGAGTTGTGAGAGCAGTTGGTTGGGAGCCGTCACTGGAAGTATGATGGAACTATAATTTTAACATTTCTTTTAATTTTTCCTTTGTTAATAACATTGTCTTTTTTTCATGAAAAGAAATCCGGCAGGAGCAAAAAGTATGATCGTCAACATTTTGGGGACAGATTTATTGTTATGTTGTTGGTGAAATCAGTGTTTTTCACTTAGTAATTAGTATTACACCCATGAATATATATTATATATTTTTATGGTTACACCTCAAATTAATAACAATACATATACCGACAGTGATTACCGCACAAATTTGGTTTTTCATTATTAAGTTAGGGACTTCTACTCTGTACACCCGGCCCTGTGTGATGTAAATTTTTTTACCCCTTATCAATGATGCTTTTACAAAACTGCCTTCTTTCTCACAGTATTTGTGGGAGACAACTGCTGTAATAGATTACCTAATTTACTTAATTACACTGAACAGTAATTATGGTTTTAACGTTTGCTTGCGCTTCACAGAATTAGATTTGTTGATTACATTTGTTATTATTACCTATACTTTTAATTACATTTTAGGCAAAAATAAGACACAAAAACCTTTTTTTTCAACTTTTTTTGATTATCGTTTCATTTCAAGTTTAAAAAAATAAAATAACCTTATACATGAACGCTTAACATTTACGAATTATAGATTAGAGATTGGATGGGCAATTATATTAATGCGCGTGTAAACGATGAAATTACGTTAAATAAATATATTTAATTCGTAATTTTATCGATAAAATTATGATATTACGTTAAATGGATATTTAATTTTTCATATTTCTATCGTTTATAAGAATTAAAAATGTGATCATTTTAACAATTGATACCGGCTAAGTATGCTTATTTGATTTTTCCTACACGCTGGTATTTCGTTTTGAGTTACATATATGCGTCTTTTAAAATTTTATATACCCATATTTTATTTGAAGGATAATTAATTAAATAATTGATTAATTAGAAACAATTATTCGGAAAAATAATTAATAATCATTATTACTGAATCATTTGCAATAAAATTGAAAGTGGACAAATCAATCAGTCATCCGATGTCATTAGCTTCGCGAATTCTGCAATGATTACAAGTCATAATTGAATCGCAATACTAATAATAATGATATAGTAGTTACAGGGGCGGGTCCAGAAGGTAGATCCAGGGCTACATCCCACCCATCAGGCCATGGAAGAAAATTTTTTTTAAGATTTGTTTAATCTGTTTAACAAAGGACCATCAACTTAACTTTCTTAATTATAATCATCCAAAATCTTTCAAAATCCTCCAAATTCCTCCCAAATCATTCCATCCACCAAAACGGAAATTAGGAAAAAAGACGTTACTTAAAATTTTGAAACTTTCCCCCGTTTAAAATTATATACAGACCCCCTCTCCCCCCCCAAAAAAAAAATCTGGGCCCGCCGCTGAACTTCTTACGTTAATGTTATTATAATTATTATATATATATAGTTAAAATGATTATATTAATAATGTTATTAGTATCATAATTTTTACTTAGGGGTGATAAAATTGTTTATTTTAACGATAATTTGAAAAAAAAAGTTTGGCATAATATGTTTATAAGAATTTATTTTTACTATGGCGAAAAAGTTATCATTAAAGAATAATAATAATAAAGTAATTATTGTTAATTATTGGTGCTACTAGTTTGGCTGTTATTATTTATAAATTAATTGTTATTTATATTTATAATGTTAGTCCTAATTGAATTACTGCCTCAAAAGGTGGTGATGATGATGATGATGATGATAATGGTGATGATGATGAAGATGAAAAGGATGATGATGAAGATGATAACGGTGTAGCTAAAAACAGAATAATATTGATAAAAATGATGCCTGCTATTACTATTAGGTAAGAAAAGATTACTCAAATTATTTTTGTAATAAATTATAATCAAAAAATATTACATAATAACCTATATAATGTTTAGTAGTAAAGGTTGTGTTGGTTTTAGTAGCCGGTTATAAACAGTACTAGCAATATAACAATAGTAGTAGTAGTAGTAGTAGTAGTAGTAGTAGTAGTAGTAGTAGTAGTAGTAGTAGTAGTATCAATTTTATGTTTGTATCCTCACATCTTTTGATTACTACCTACGTGTTTTTATTGCTAAAATTTTGGGAAGGATTTTGAGTTTAGGAGCTAATTATTTTGAGGACAAAAGATAACGAGCGTAATAACATGGGAATGTGTGACGATGATGATAACGATCGAAATGATAACAACGATAATGATGGTGATGGAGGTGATAATGATAATAAAAATGATGATGATAATAATGTTACCTACGTAATTGTTAGATTCTAAAGGGAGCACACATCAGTCAGAAGTCATCAATTTACAGAATTCTAAATGTTAAAATTGTTATTTATTAATTTATCGTCGTCGTCATCATCGTCATCGTCGTCATTGTTGTTAGGGTATATGGGAGTTTAAAAAATATAGATATTATTAAATATTAATTATTCCTTAATACTTTTCATAAAATGTATCAATTAAATATTTAATTAATATATTGCGTTAATTTATCACAAGAAATAATTTCCAATCAGGGTTTGGTCTGATTATTATTTTTTGAAATCATTGAACTGAAAGAATTGATCAAACTCTAGACCAGTTAAAAATAAGGGTATAGCTATATTTCAATTTCTGTTCGATAATTGTAAATGAGACAATTATTTTTGTAAATCGGTAGTTACAAAAAATTAGCATTATCAACCAACCACACATCGGTGCTATATAGATCAGGGTTGTTAGAATCAGAGTATCGGTTATATTGTTTACATGGTACATTTCCAAAATCGGATTTGGTGTCAGCAACTTTTGAAGTCAAGTATCAAATTGGATATCTCCAATACATTCGAGGCAGAAAAAATTTGATAATCTATACCGATGCTATTTTTTATGAACGATTTTAATTTTTAATTTTAAGCGCGTTTTCTAGTTGATAAATTTGGGACTCGAAATGAGGTTTCGCAGTCTTTTGCATGTTTTTTATCTTAAGTTTCCGCTGAATGAAACAATTTATCGTTACAGGTCATTTTCATGTGGCACGTATTAATATAAATGAAATATTTGTTTTCTCTTTTTATATAGCACCGTTTAAAATTTAAAATATTTCAAAGTATTGGTATCAGTATTACCGGTTGTACTTCAAAAAATGAGTGTCGATTTTGGCATTGGCAGTTATCGACATTTTAAAGCCAGTATAAGTGATACCATACAACTTTTGATGGGTATTGTTAACAACCCTGATAAATATGCACTAGCGCCACCTATATCAATGACAAATTATAGATAATTTGTGAATAAAATTTGCTGTGGAATTGAAAAAACATTTTTTTTCATCAACTTGAACACCCCTCTCACCGTTATAGTCGACCCATCCACTGCCGTCTGTGTCGACATCGGCAATCATGTCGTCAATGTCGGCTTCTGTTAAGTCGTCTCCGAGGTTCTTCAAGATCCATCTGGCCGGAAAAGTTTAATACGAAATTACATTTTGAGTACTACGTACCAAGTAGAAGTACTGTACATTTGTGTATCTAATTTATCGCACTGTCAGAAAAACCGTCGGTACAGAGAAGTATCGATTTCATTCAAGTCGGTATAGTTTTTCATAAGTTTAATTCAGTTTTAATTTAACAGCTTTGTCAATTTTATTCGAGTCGGTATTATTTTTTCAAGACGATATCGTTGTCGAAACAGTTTATTTCAACACAACAAAGGAATGAAATCTCTAATGCCCCAAACAAGCCTGACCTTAATTCGTTCGTGTTGACCTCCCCTCTCTTTTCCTTGTCCAGTGACTTGAACATCTCCCTCAACTCTCTCTCGTCTTCATCATCTCTCATTTTCTTCAGGACGATGTTACAGAATTCTTCGAATTGGATGTAGCCGGTTCCTTGGATGGTTTGTAAGCAAAATTAATTTTTAGTATAATTTTTATTGGCGTGTTGGTTTTTGGTTTTTTAATTTAATAAACAATTTATTATTTAATCCCTTCAGCCAACATCAACCGCTTGTCCATACATCTTTTTCTTTCAAGGAAAAATCGTAAATCTAACTTTCTAGCAATATATCATTGTAAATTCGTCGACGACAACTCATTCAATAGTTTTTTCAAACTAACCCTAACTCATACTTTAATCTTTTTGTATTCCTACGATAAAATAAACTTCGATGAAATTCCATATTTGATTATTTAAATTAAGATCGAAACAGCACATGGGGAAAATATTTTATGCCTGCCATTTTATTCAACAACCAGCAAACGATCTTATTAATTTACCTTCTCAACAATTCACCACTGAACAATGCACCCGCCATTGGACAATGTACCCACTTTTTGATAATTCACCCACCATTCAACAAAGAAAACTAAAAATTTCTTCATATTCTCACCTTCCGAATCGATGGTGTGTTCGATTTTTTCCAGCCAATCAGGTTTGATGTTGTGTCCCAACCTCTTCATGGCTGACTCGATGTCACCAACCTTGCAGCAGCGGAAAATATTTTTTCAAATTTACTAGCATATAAATTTTGAAATTTTTATAAAAATTAAATTTTTCGTAAATTTTATTTTTACTTTCAAAATTTTTCAAAAATATTTTACGACAAAGTTTTCTGCCTACTTCACCCGTTTATAAAATTTGACCAACCAACCTTAATTTGGTCTTCGTTTTTTTTGTCGAAAGCTTTGAAGGCATCTTTGGCAGCTGAAGGCATTTAGAAAAGTAATTTTTAATTTTTTTTTATCGTTTTCCACATTAAAACTTGCAGATCAATTACTCCTAAGTGAATACACAAATGTAATAACTTCTGAATTGTAAAACTTCGAGTATATAAACGCTTTTATAATTTTGTTAAAAATGTTGAAAAATTAAAATTTATCCACCTTACAGTTTATTATTGTTGTAGAATTAATTTATGAACATCCGTTATAAAAGTGTTTTCAATGCATTATTGGTAATTAACATTTCGGTGTGATTGAAGGAGCATCAACATTTTTCCTAAAATTAGAGCGCTGGGATCACTTCGCATTCGAACCGGTCACTATCTTTCAACCATTTAATTTTCTATTATTAATATGAATGAATTCATTCATTAAAAGTTTTTTTTACGAGGTTAGGTTTAGTCATCTTATTATGTTTTATTATTTATTAAATATCTTAATTGAAAGTTTCAAAATTATTTCCGAACAACCTTTTGTTTGGGCATCGCTTAACTTGATCTCAGCCTGTTGGAGTGTTTTAAGTTTAATGGATTTGAGTTAAATGAGACAAATGTGAAAATGTATGAAGAAAAATTACGATTCATCTATTATTTTTAATGTTATTCCTCCTGTTTTTTATTATTATTTATAATTATTCCAATGAATGAATTTGATATTAAACAACTTATCTTACTTAACAACCGTAATAAAACTTTAAAAATCATTAAAATTTTGAATACGAACCATTATTTTTGTTATATTTTATCGAATATTTTCAAAAAACGAGAAACAGAAGTGATAGAATTAATCCGACTGAGGTGGAGGAAGTTGTTGAGATGCAAGCGAACGCTCGTAAACAAGAAGAAAGAGAAACAGCGTAGAAGCAACAATAAGCAAGCTTAAAGAGAAAAATATGAGATGAAGATGAGGAAGATGAGGATGAAAACTGTGATGAAACATTTGCCCAAAACTTACAGCAAGGAGGCTAATTTTAGCACCGACAACAACACCAACTGTATTTTATAAAGCATCTATAATGTAGAAGTTGTTGTTTAGTTTATTAATAAATGTGTTTAATGAGTTGCAGCTGCTATTGTAACAACTGCACAACTTTTTGCACGCTTTGACTGTTGTTTTCATATTTGATATAAGAATGAAATTGTTTTCATATTTGATATAAGAAGGAAATTGAAATTGTTGTTGTTGTTGTGTGTGTATCAAAATTAATGCATTATTCATCATAAGAATTGCTATGTTGCGTTGGATGTATTACGGGCACATAACATACACACGCACACACGCGCGCACACATAAATCTTTCTATATGTATATAGACATATCCATACACAAAGTTGCAAGAAGCAATACATACTCCATGAAGGAATAGTATGGGAAGGAATAACTTCAGCTCACGATCAGCATATTGTATTGTATTTCTTCTCATCTCACACAGCCCCCACTCACTCATTCACTATCTCACCTATTAAATGTATCTTTTTCTGAAAATATATCAAATACGATGAAGATGATGGTAATGCTTAACAGATTGTGATGTGATGATGTAATGTGATGAATAATTTGCACCACCTACTTCGGTTTTTGTAATTTTATAAACTAAAATATTCATCCAAATACTTCACTACCACTACTACTACTACCACTACTACTACTACTATTTCAATAATTTTAGCGGTTGAAAATATCACATAACACAAAACAACATAAAAAGAGGGGTTCATAGTTGATCCGTAGACTTATGTCGTTGTGAGAAGCATGATGGTTCTAATTAATTGTCCTGATATCCCAGATCTCCAAGCTTGAACATGAAACTGTTGATGGATTCAGCGGAAACCCTGCCGTCATTTAGCTGATTTCAGGTATTTACCACCCTGCTGCTAAAAAATTTTTGCTCGATTTTTCCAACTGACCTCGTAAAAAGCTCGTATCTATGACTTTGTTGTCTTCCTCTAGCCTCTAATTGGAAGAATCTGGTAAAAGGCGGAATCTGGTAATGATTCTTTTCGTTAATCAGTTTGTATGCATGTATTACATCGCCTCTGCATCTAAAAATTACGCCCAACGTGGGGCTCGAACCCACGACCCTGAGATTAAGAGTCTCATGCTCTACCGACTGAGCTAGCCGGGCTGCTACACATCGAAAACATCTCAGTAAATATTTACGGTTTTGCTTTGGCTGTTGTTGGTAACTGCTATTTGTACAAAATTTAAACTACCACCACATCTAATCCATCAATCCAATCAATCTGTTTTTCCGTATTTCCATTTAAACAGTCCACAAACTTCTAAAATAGGCACGTGTTATTTGGCACTCGCCATAACTTGATAGCTGAGTTTAAGTAAAAAAGGTAAAAAGGGAATTCCAGATAAAAAGTTTCTATTGAAAATAAAGGTATTGAATTGTATTGTATGTGTGGTTGACTAACGTTGTGAATGCAATTGTAATTTTGAGAAGTATCTTCGTTTAGACCATATAGTTAGAATAAATCTCTTATGTATGTAAAAGCCTAACAAAATTTGTTAATAAATATATATTTGGATATAAAAATATAATTTATTTAGTTAAATTCTACATATATGGTTAATATATATATATATATATATATATATATATATATATATGCATTTAAATTTTATTAATTAATCCAAAAAATATCACCTTGGAATCTGAAGCACCTTTACTGACGTACCTAATCAGTTGCTGCACCTACCTTCGGAAACGAGAAAAATTACGATCAACATTTTTTTTCTCGAGTTTCGAAAATTAATTCTTTTTTAATTTAAGAAATATTTTGATGTTCTAAAAATATTGTTTGTTTGTGGTTTTTAATTACTAATTTAATTTTTCTGGACTTATTCTTTAATTTTATTCTTATTTTAAAAAAAAATTAATAAATTAATTTTTTTAATATCTTAAATTAAAATTAGAAGTAATAATATGTGCTTCAGGGTGTATTTATTTTTTTTATTATAATATTATTAATTATTTATCTCTACTTTAGCTAAACTTTACTTTAGTAAAAGTTAGATTTTAGATTTAGTTTAGTTTTAGATTTTAGAAAGATTAGAAACTGTTGATTGTACAATAATAGTACCTTGTCAAAAATATAATACACAAAGATTAAAATAAAACTTTTAATTTTTATTAATCTCCTAGATGACCTAGACAAGTAGCGTAGTTAAATAGTTTTTATTTCAAATAAATAATTTGAAAAAATAAAAAATGTACAAAAATATTTTCCCCACTGAAGTTTCTGTCATAGGTTATTATTACTATTTTTACTGCTTTTTGTACTTTATTTCACGTAACAAAGATTGTATTATTATTAATTCAAAAAGCTTGAATTATAATTAATTTAACATTGATTGATGATAAAATAAAATTTCAAAGTTAAATATAATGTATGATCCAATCTATGTTTTTCAAATTAACAGTTAAATTGTGTTGTAAAAATTGTATTTATTTTATTTTTTAGTTTACAGTGTCAGGAATATTAAGCCCAGCAAAAGAGGTTGTCCCATATTAATTACTATAATCTAACTTAAAGTTTAATATAACATTATATTAATAATTATTAATTATCTTGTTAAAAAAACTATTGCAAAAACTTTTTAAAACTATCAATGCTTGAAGGCCTGAAGTACTGTGTGATAATATCGATTGGCAATGTCAAGTACAGAACAGATTTGGTAGAAGATCCAAATGGCTCTCCACAGTTCAACACTGAGTCCATCTTGTAAGATGCCTTGACTGTATTTTTTGATTGAATATATTTTTTTGCTTTTTTGTAATACGCATAAATTTAATTTTTAGTTGAAGTTTATTTGTATTTTCACACAGACTTGTCGAAAACCCCAAATTGCCTCTTCAGCTAGTGGCTACAGAAAAAAAAGAAAAAGAATTTTTTGGGCAATTAATTATACCTTTGGAGACATTGGGTAGTATAAGAACAGATAAAGAAGTCATCAAACCCCTGCAGCCACACAAAAAATGCTCGAAGCCTTCGGCTGAGATACATTATGAAGTGTGGATATCAAAGTGTATCACTTCTATTGCTCCTGAAATAAAAGTATTTGGAAACAATGAAAACGTCAATGCCCCAGTTTTCAAGAAGGGACCATTCTCTGGATTGAAGAAAACACTTGCATCCATTACAGGCTCACCAAGAATGATGAGGTGGGTTGTGGTGTGTTGTTTTGTCAACATTATATATTCTTTATGTTACAGATTATTCTACTAAATTGATATATACGTGTATTGTGAATTATTTCAAAGTATTTTATGTTACTCAATATTTTTTATTTGTTTACCAGAAAGCATGGATTTAACAACAGACAAGGGAACCTGAACAAAACTTCCAGCCTTAAAACCACAAGCTCATGCCTTGATTTATCCAACAACAAAACCAACACCCTCTACAACATCGGGTCGAATGATTTTCAATCACGTGGCAGTTCATGGACTCTGAATGAAGATTTCAATGATTCAAATGACAATTCAATGGCTTTGACTTCACAGAACTTAAAATTTGCTCAAGATTCAACACGTTATAATGATGGTAGTCAGTTGTACATAAACACCATTCATGAACATTCAGAGGAAGCTGATTCTTACACTGATAAACATTCGAAGTTGCCTGATATTTCTGGCATATCGCCCAACACTGGCATGATAATTGGTGGAACAAAAATCATCATTAGAGGAAAAAATCTGGGTGAAAGAAAAGAAGATATAATTGGTTTGTTTGTTTGCGGGTCAAATATTTTAAGCTCCCTGGAGTATGTAAGTTCTTCAAAAATTTTGTGCACCACAAAACCTTGGAGGGTAGGTGAGGGTGTGATCACTATAGAAACCCAAACCGGAGGCAAATCTAATTCAACCTTGACCTTCACATTCAGAGATGATTATGATAATGATTGCACCCATAATGATGCTACTGTTAAAAGAGCTGAAAGCTGGAATAAAGAGCACAAAACAAAGCAAAAGTATCCAAATATCGGCTCACCAGAAATGGTACATAAAATGAAGAGACTGAACATCTTTGCTCCGATCAGTAGCTGCAGAAGTATGACTGACCTGTCGAGCATCAATAGTGCTAGTAACAAAACTGGAAACAGCACGTTCTTTAGCAGTCATATTGGCATGGAAGGCAACTATATGAAAAATGCCTCAACACTTAATGGTAGTCATGTGGAAATTTGATTAATTCGTTAATTTTTACTCTTTCTTATATAAACAACACATTAAATAAAATTTTTATTAATTATTTTGCTTCTTCCTATTTGAATAAAATGTTTCGTAAAAATTTAGGATTATTTCTTCTAAATTTAGTTTAGAGTTAAAAGCCAAATAACATTTTGAACATAATACAATGAATAATAAATATTTTAATAAAGTAATTCTTAAAAAATAATCTCTCCTAGTTGGACAGGCAACAGCATACAACAACAGCAACGTAGGCAACAACAACAACAACAATGTAGCCAAGCTGAAACCTGCCCATCCTCCAGTTATACAGATATTTCCTATGAAAAATGAACAGACACTCAAAAAGAAAAGTTTGTATATATATATATATATATGTACGATTCAGATCATCAGATATACAGTTGTTTAGGGAAATCACGCATTTTTAGCGTTGCTTAATTTTCTATTTAATTTTTCAATCTTCCTTTCGATGTATTTCAGTCGATTATATTATATATTTAACGATCGTCTAAAAAGTTTTTCCTAAAATAAATTGATATAAAATGTATCACCTAGATCAGAGTATTTTAATTGTAGTAACATGTAAAATTGGGTTTCTTAACTTGAAATAATTATCTACATATGAGGGACAGTCAGTTAGAGACTGATACATAGAGAAGTAAATGACAATATACTGACTTAATACTAATTATATATAACTAAATCTATCAATAAATATAATCTAGATTTTCAGATTTTAAATATAAAATTTAAAAAAATTTAGATATAGAACAGGAATTGATAGAGTGGCGAAACAGTGCAAACGACCTCAACATTATGACGAATGGTGTGTTGTTTCTGTTGAGTTTTTCACCATTTACCACCATCACTATCATTGTAGTAATGATGAACATTATCACCTTATTTACTACTAACCCCTTTTCAGATCATTTTGTGATTTCATCTTTATACCCATCCATCCACCCATCTACCAATTTATTTATATTTCAAGTTTACATTTATTATGCACGCTCATGCGAATTTGACCGTTTTAAAATCCAATTTCTCAAAAAATCTACGGCAGAATTAGCAGAAGAGAACAGAAGGCTGAAAGTCTACATAGAGAAATTGGTGACCAAGATAATGATCAAGTGCCCAGAGGTTCTGTGCACTGACAATAGAACATGATTCTTCCAGCATCAGTGAAAATGCAGGTGAAAAACATCAGCCTTTAAATTCCTACTCTACCACTTCTACCACTACTCAATCATTTCTAATTTTTTCGATGTGTAAGTTAATCAAATAATTTTAATATTATTGTTTATTATTGTTTATTATTATTATTATTTAATATTATTATTTTTCAATCATGTTCTTCATCTTCATGTGGTTACCGGTAACAGATATATACGCATTTACGCGTCAAGTGACGTATTTTATGCACAATTTTCTAACCCTGCAACACTAATTATTCGCCTGAAAAGTCAAACCAAATACTCCAACTTCCAAATCATCATTTAATCACATATTTATCTTAAATTATTCAATTCGATTATTTATATATCGGTTGTCATTACAGGATTAACTTGCGCACAATTACTTTTTTGGCAGATATTACGTAAAAGGGTCTAGGCAAAATTTTGACGCGGACAGCCAGTAGACTGATTAAACAGTACAGTGGTATATGGTAATAAAATACTAAAAGTTGAACGTATGCGGATAGATGCATCAGAAAGAGTAAGATTGACATTTAATGGACACTTAAGGAATGATTGAATATACATGTGGAGAATATATTGTGGAAAAATGTGCAATCATGGAGGTGAAAAGCAGAACAAGCTATCATTTATCTGCAAGGAATGAGAATTGAAACGGTGGAATAAAACGTAGAACATGTATTAAATAGAAACATTTGAAGAAAGAAAAATATTACCCCTAGAATAAATAGGAACTTAACCTTGTGCATTTTTTCTTGCTTCTGCCTGCGTGCATACTCATATTTTAATTTCATTGTTAGACATTGCTACTCAAAACTATGCCATATTTCAACTCGAATCGTCGATAACTAACTTTGGTTTTATTATATCCAAATATAACTAACGATTTATAACTTATAGAACATAATTTCGTTTGTGTGTATAACTGCTGATGGCAATTTGACTTGTGGCGCCGTTTTGCTTTCAGAAACTTTATTTAATTTGTTTTATTCAGACAGCAATCTTGTCATTTTTGAAATCTAATTAATGAATATTCTATTTAATTATGTAATTAATTTATAAATAGTTATGATATTGATGTTTTTACAGTAAAATAATTATTATCTACTTCGTGTGTAATTTCACAATTTATGTGGCCAGTTTGATTTTGCTAGTCTTATTCCATGTTTTACATCAGTTACATCAATTACGTTGTCATGAAAGCTTTTTGAAATTCATGATTTTCATGTCATATTTATCGATTTATCAATATAATAAAGATAATAAACATTATTCATATTTCTTATTGTGATAAATTCAGTTAAAACAATTAAATTAATTGCATTTTATATGGAAAAAACAATAGTAGTGTTCTAAAAAACCGTTAAAAATCGTAACTGTACATATCAGCTGAGATCAAAAATATGCAATGTTAAACCAACAAACAACAAATACAACATTAAATAAATTTTTGAAAAACTAAAAACATCACTGTCAACCTCAACAAAAATTATGAAAATTTAAAAAAAAATACAAATTAAAAAAATTCTATATTACAATTGAATCAACCTTGTTATTTAAATACGATTAAACATTTTGAGAAAATGAATATAAAAATATTAAAAAAGAAAAATTCTACGTCCTATCTGGTTGAATGTTAAATGAACACTGCAGTAAGTGCTTGTTCAGTTGCTGTTTATATGCATACCCCTTGCCACACTTGCCACATTTAAATGGTTTAGGCAGACCATGCTGTGTACTCATATGAGCCTGTAGAAATAATTTTCTTGGGAATCTCTTGCCACACATGTTGCAGACCACCGGGTGACTTCTTAGCTTATCATCAATGAGAGATGATGAAGATAGCGATGAGAAGTCAGTTCTTCTTGGGTGTTGCTGTACGATGTAATGATCTGTGGTGGGCACGGTGTTCTCTGTCGGACAATATTGCAATGAGTGGCACATCGGTCTGCCGTTTTTGTTGTAAGAGTTGTTGATCTGAAATGAACATTATATGTATCTGTAAAATATAAACATGCAATATGAATATATGCATATACTAATACCATAAAATAAATTATAGATAGTTTGTAAATTAAAGTCTGAATTGCTTAGAATAACTTAATGATTAGTTGAGCAACCTACCCTGTATGATTGAGAAGTGTGTTTCATTATTTGATTTTTTGTTCGAACAGGATGAACTTTCAGCCATGTATTTTCATTTAAATGTAAGGGTGAAGAAATGCCTGAAGAATTTTTATCGTTGTTCAACTTGGCAATGACTGAATCGTTGTTAACGTTAGCTTCCACCATGATGTTGGGGTCAGATAAATCAAGATCTTCATAACGTGAATTGTCTGAATCACAGTTTATTTCAATTTTAATATCTTTTATAATTTCTTCATTCGGTTGATCGTTGTCTTCATGTGAATGTGAAGTTAGCAACCTTTCACAGCGAACAACAGAGGAGCTGTAGGTATCATTAACAATATGATTAGTGTCAGTTTTTATGAAGGTGTGACCACCATTGCCATCGTCGTTGGACTGTTGTTGCTGCAGTTTAACGTTATTATTATGGTTATCGTATGTTATGCATTCATTGAGATTGACAAGAAATATCTCGGACTTGTCGATTGTAACCCCTATCAAACCTTCGATCTTCAGATCGGATATGTAATTCAAACCATTCTTGCAGAGCAGTGCAATCGTTTCCTTCAATATTTTTAGTACCCTCTCTTGATCTTCTTTCAAAACCATCTTGACATTTAAATCAGATATAATAGCAAATACAAAAAAAATCGTTTTTTCTTTAAGTAAAAAACTGGTTATCGCTATCAAAGAGCAGCTAAATTGATTTTCTAAACAAACTTTTAAAAGTTTGATATGTCAAAATGTTTATTATATTGTAATATTTGTTTAAAATGTTTAAAATGTTAACCCAATTTTCATTTTCTGTCACTTTTATGAACATAGAACATTGATTTTTAAACTTTTTATTTAAGTCTTATTTTAGTTGTTGTTTAATTTTATTTCGTAACGTTCGTTTCGTGTTTGTTTCAAAAGTTTTGCTTTCCAATTTTTATGAGTATTTTGTGAAGCGGGAGAAAGCATGGAGAGTTCAGACGAATCTTCTAAAATGAAAGAAAGCGATGAAGAGAGCTGCTCTTTGAAGTCAACCGAAACACCTCAACCACAAGAGGACAAAAAGTTGATTAGTAGTTCGGTTTCAGACCACAGCGTGGTGGCCGCCAACGCCAGCAACAATAATGACGTCAAAGACAGCACAAGTCTGCTTTCAAATTCATTAAAAAGTCGAATTGTTAAATCACTTTCCGATCCTGAGTTATGCTTTGAATCTCTCACAGCTGAATCCTTCTCCAACAAGAGGCAGAGCAATTTTAAGAAAAATAAGAGTAGTATAAGCGAAAAGCAAAAAGACAATGACGACAGCAAGGAAGACAAATGCATTTTATCAGAAAGGAGTTCGCTTAAAAAAGAAAGGAAGCACAGTAAAACAAGCAAATACTCAACAGAAACAGAATCTCCAAGAAACATGGTCGATAGTGATGAAATATTCACTCCTGCTTACTGCATTGGTTACACTTCAGACAGCGTCAAAAAAGTCAATGAAAAGCATTCAAGAAAAACAAATCACCCAGAGGAAGAGCAAAAAAGTGCTGACCTTTTGAAAGAAACAAATTGCAGCAGTCGAAGTAATACGGAGTTGAAACGTGTCAAGTCATACTTAGATTTTGACAGGAATTGGCAGTGTACAAAGTCATCTATCAAAGAACGAATGAGTTTCATGTTCAACAATGAATTGATGGCTGATGTTCATTTCATCATGACAAATGATGGGAAGGAAACCAGTCAAAAAAACATCACCATACCAGCTCACAAGTTCGTTCTCTCCATCAGTAGTTCTGTATTTGATGCCATGTTCAACGGCCAGTTAGCTCACCCAGCAGATGATAACCTCACCATCGAAATAACTGATATAGAACCAGCAGCCTTCTTAAATTTATTGAGATTCTTCTACACTGATCAAGTTACTCTATGCCCAGAAACAGTTATGGCCACGTTGTATGCAGCAAAAAAGTATGCTGCAAGTTTGTTGGAGTTTGCATGTGTAGATTACTTGAAATCAAACTTGAATGGAGACAATGCATGCATGTTGTTAGCACAAGCGAGACTGTTTGATGAACCCCAACTGGCCACAATGTGCCTGGAAGTCATCGATCATTCAACACTAGAAGCAGTTGCAGCAGATAGTTTCACTGAAATTGATCTTGAAACACTCTGCATTGTTCTGCAGAGAGATTCGTTGGAGATCAGAGAATCAAATTTGTACTCTGCTGTCATCAGGTGGGCCCAGGCAGAATGTTCCAGAAATAACTTAACTGCTACAGCAGAGAACCAGAGACGAGTTTTAGACAAGGCTCTCAACTTCATAAGATTTCCTCTGATGTCTATTGAGGAATTTGCATCAGGGCCAGCTCAGTCTAATCTCCTTTCAGATAAAGAAGTTGTGCAGATTTTTTTGTATTTCACAGCCAAACCACGACCGTCCATTAGATTTTCAGATGCAGCTCGTTGTTGCGTTGTCAGCAAGGAGGAATGCGTGTGCAGGTTTGGCAAGGTGGAAAAGAGATGGGGCTACAGTGGTCACACTGACAGAATCAGATTCATGGTTAGCAGGAAAATTTACGTCGTCGGTTTTGGATTGTACGGCTCCATACATTCAAGCGCAAAGTACTTTGCAAATATTCAGCTGATGCACTCTGATTTCAGATCAGTTTGTGGAGAAAATGACGTCGTTTACTCCAGCCAGGGCAACACAGAAACAATCAAGGTGATGTTCAAGGAGCCTATTGAGATTTCCCCAAACGTAAGCTACACAGCTTGTGCCACCATCCAGGGACCTGATTCATATTACGGGGCCAAGGGGGTTCGCAAGGTCGTCGCGGGAAAAACGACTTTCCAATTTTTTTACAATGCCGGAAACAACAATGGCACCTCAGTTGAAGACGGCCAGCTGCCTGAGATTTATTTTTACACATGATTGACGTCAAATTGGGAGGAGGCGCTTGTATGATTGATTCTATTTTATTATTTTTCACATGAGTATTAGACATTTTCACTAATCTTCAAGATTCGTAGAAATCATTTATTATTAATTTCGGTGTGATGTAAAAAAAAATGTTACATCCATTCTTTTTTTTGAAAAAAAACTCCACATACATCTATAAATGATAATATCGATCGATTGTTGTCATGCTTAAATTAATTTATTCAATTAAACTTGGTTGTGTTGAATGTTATTCACGTCAGAGTTATTGCAATTTTTGATATCATAGGCATTTAAACTTGTGTTTCTTCTACTACTACTTTTACTACAACTACTACTACCGTTAGCAGTAATAGTAATATTTATTTTATCATTATTATCATTATATTGTTATGGAACTCTAATTGAACTCAACTAATACTAATCAGTCGTTTAATACATGTTAAATTTCTTGTAAATTTGCATAATTATTATTTTCCTCAACACCTCCATTTATTTACGTATTCATATTTCTCATTTACTGGTTTTAACAGTTACTTATTCAGTCAAAACGTATTTATTTATTTATTTATTTATTGAGAATTAAAAAAATAAAAAGCAGACGAGTTGTAAAAATCTCTTTTAAATATTATATTATATTTAAACAAAAAACAAACTAAACACCCTTAAGCAAACGTCATTTATTATTACCGAAATAATAATTAAAATAATAATGATGATTAATATTTTTTTACAGCAAATGTAAGGACGTTAATGATAACAATTCTATTTATTACAGATTCATTTACACGATGACGCCGATGATTATCACATGGAGTTGAACAGATTCTATTATGATGAAATTCAAATTGTAGAAAAAGATAAAGGAGAGAGAAGAGAATGAGAGAGAAAAGAGAGTGAAAGATGGAAGAGAGATTATGCCGGAAAAAGTACAATAAAGGAAATGAAGTTGAAAAAATTCAACGAAGTGGAAAAAATTAAATAATTAATTTACAGATTTATATTTATAAATTCAAAATTTGTGCGAAATGGTTGAAGTAAGAGAAAAACATCTTCATCATCGTCGTCGTCATCATCTTTACATCACCAGCATTACCTATGTACATGAGGTATAAATAAAAGATTATGACATCATCACCCAAACCCCCACAATTAACATCGCAAATAAGTTTAATCACCAGCATTGTCATCATTGCCATCACCGCATCATCATGACGTCATTGCTATTTTCATGACGTCATCATTAAAGTTTAGGCGTTATCGTCATCAGTCAGCATCATCATCATCATCAGCTTAAACAACATTACATTACATCATCCAAATGATTAATAATAATAATAACAATAATAATTATTATTATTATTACTATTACCCTGATAACGATAAATAGAAAAAGAGAACTCGTACATTTAAATTTTTAGAAATTTTTTTTATTAAACTTCTACATAATATTCATTAATTAGGAGTTTTTAATTAAATAATTTCCAATTAATATATATATATATATTTAAAATATAAAAGGAATATATATAAATATATATAAGTAAATATAATATATACATACATACATACATTCTATATATATATATGTATATAATGTAGACCCAGACATGTTTACCATCGCATATTTCACGACCAATAAAAATGCAGTCTAAACCAAACCTGCTACGGTTCAATTTATGTGACAAATAAATAATAACATTTATTATTATTATTATTATAACTATAATTACTCACTCACTCGCTCACACACTCACTTATTCATAGGCGAGTTTAAACGATAATTAGAAAACAGAATGATGACGACGATGAAGATAATATTGAATATTGATTATTTCGTGTTATGAAAATAACCACAACAGATTTATGAGATTATGATGATAACTAAGATGATGTTTAAGACGATGATGAAGACGACGACGATGATAAAGAAAGTGTTATAATAATTACAACGACAATAAAACAAAGATCAGTGAGATCATCATTGCCAAGATGATGACGACGATGATTAAGATATGATGATGAAACAATCCTTAGATATTACCAGAACGGCGATACATAGCGATACTTAATCGGTCCCTTCTATGTATTAAACATGAAACAAATTAATTCAGTAACCATATCACCCGTAATATTTTCAATATAAAATGAATTTTTGTCACTATTAAATTTATGTAATATTGAAAAAGACTATGAATAAATACAAATTTTATTTATATATTAATTTATTCATTTGTCTATTTTAAGAAAGAATAGCAATCAAAATTTTACTACTACTGGCTTGATCACCACCACAAAATGAAATCTTTCAATGACCATACATACAAACACGGGGCAGTCCTATCGTCCACCACTCTCCGTATTTAGGTCAACAAATCTAGGTCATTTTGCATCCACGTCAACCAGCTTGGGTCATTATGTATTCAAGCCGATAAATGTAGGTCAGTTCGTTTCAAACCATCTTCACCACACCATCAATCACAACCAATCAAAACCACACACAGTCTAACCTTATAATAGAAATAATAATAATAATAATAATAATAATAAAATATTGACAGGTTTATTCAATGTTACATTGAGAACCGTCAACCAAATTGAAAAAAAAACATAATAAAAATCTTAAGAATGAAATGATCAGATCAGAGATGAACAAATAAATAAATGTATTGTATTATTTATATATAAACGCAGACACAAAGTATACATACATACACACACACAAACATACATACGTACACACATACAGTATACATAAATGTAAACGATTATATAAACATAATTAGGCAAATTAAAATCACACACAAACACACAGACACACACACACACACACACATACAACGACAAATAAATTGTATATACAGTATATATTTATATAGTTATAATCATCAGCTATAGTTTAATTAAATGCACATATAAACACTAATTTGTATTTGCAACAATACAAAACTCAACGCGATACAATACAATACGCGTTTATATATGATGAAGTACCGAATTATGCATGGGTATGCTGCTGCTGATGTATGTATGCGTGTGGGTACGCAAAAAATGAAACAACAAAAAATCAAACGAATGAAAAAGCATGCAGATTTGTAATGTGCCTATAAGGAAAAAATTGTATGTCTTTGTGTGTTTATATACAAACTTCCGTGAACTGTACAGCTCTTGTATAAAAGTTTTTTATTTTGTATGTATGTTTACACGCGAGTACATTTGTATACTCAAGTTTATGTACGCAAGATGAATACGTACGTTCACGTTTATACAACCATGTATGCAAAATACAAATACAAGACACGCGTGTATACAGACGCAGAAATACAAACAAAAATACAATGCAATACAAGCATAAAGAGAGGTACGTACGAATCGTTACTTACGAACTGATGACGAATAATAATCCGTTGCTTATGAATATTGATGATGAGGCAAGGCCAATTAAGGTGTGTATGTGTGTGTGTGTATGCGTATATGTGTGAGTATGTGTTCCAGCTAGTACATTAGAAAACAACAACAGAATAATAACAGAAATGAAAATAAAACAAACACAAAGAGGATGATAAAATCGATAACCAAAAAACAATATAAAATAATTATACAACATATTTATAGCAATAATATTTCAATAATAATAATTGGGAACATTTTTAAATGGAAACATACGCGCACAAACACGTGCATTCATACATACGTGCACGTGCACACACACACACCACACACACACGCACACACACACACACGCACCACACAAACACACACACACACACACACACGCAGACACAGGCAAATTATACCCTAAAACATAAATTCATTTATTCAAGCTTAATACTCATAACGTGGAAAAATAAAACAAACATTTAAATCAATGTGCGACAAACAAGACATCGTCATCGTAATCATTTTCATCATCATAATCACCGATGTCATTTCATCATCTCATCCTCATCATCTTAATCACCCCACCATCGCATTGTAACATAGTTTGACGACATTGATACATACATTTCGTACATTCAAACGCACATAATACATGCCGTAACCTACATAGGTAGTTTGTCATAATTGGAAAAAATTAAAAGAATAGTAATCTATCTAATACTCTCTGTCTGTCTGTCTGTGTCTCTCTGTTTGTCTGTCTCTCTGTCTGTCTGTCTCTCTGTCTGTCTGAGTCTCTCTGTCTTTCTTTCTAAATCTATCTTTCTTTCCATATCAACGAAATGAAATTATGTAAAAAATAAAAACACAAACATGAAAAGCGGTAAGCAGTCAACCTGATAAACAAACATAACCAAATAAAAAATATTAATAATTCGCCATATTTAAATAATTAATCACCTTCAACTACTTACTCACAACCTCGAGTAACAAATGGTAAATATATTGTAAATATGTTGTAAATATATTGTAAATATGTTGTAAATATATTGTAAATATATTGTAAATATATTGTAAATATGTAAATTGATAATACTAATACAATTTAAACCGGGCCCAAGTAACTAAATACATAGTAATCGATAAAAAATGATTTATATAGCGCCAATTAATAACAATTTTTTAAATATTCTGAGTTCAGTTTCGTTGGAGAAACTAAACGGAGCAAAAAAGAGTAAAGACCCATCTAACAAAAAGCCAGTGAGTACAAACCAATACACATTTAATATCATGAAACAAAATTAATAATAATAACAACAATAATAATAACAATAATAATACTACTACTAATAACAAAGCAACAACAACAATAGTAATAACAATAGCAACAACAATAATAACAATTATAATAATAGTACTACTAATAATAATAATAAAAATTGATTCGTCACCGGGAATCTATGAAAAGTTTTATAAACCCAAAATGGCCTTAAGGTATTCACATTAAACAGACACTGTAGAGATACAACTATGTATATGCTATACTTGAGCATCTGGCCACACACACCACGTATCAATTCGCACGCCGAAGATGGTATAGAAATAGCGAAAAAGAGCTTTTCTGCTCTATCATGCTTAAAATAAATAAAAATTTTGGTTTTGAACTCAAGAAACTTGAAGATGATTTACGATCAACCGTTAAAAAAGTTAAACAGTAAGTTAACTATCGCGAAACCTGCTGTAATTTTTATCAATAATTATATATATATATATATATATATATATATATATATATATATATATATGTGTGTGTGTGTGTGTGTGTGTGTGTGTGTGTGTGTGTGTGTGTGTGTATGTATGTGTATACAATTTCATATGATATTAACAAATACATATAATATAATTGACATACAAAGTACTATATACAAATGCACAAACATATACGAACATTATGTACAATTTGCAAACTTTTACAAAAATACATTGTATATATAGAAATATATATATACACACACGAAATAGACAAACATAATATACAACATACGAAGATTGACAATGAATGGCAAACAAACAAACGAACGAACGAACAAACAAACAAAAGTTACTAATAATAGAAGGAGCAATTATCTGAAGCGATTTTTTTATATTTATAAACATGAAAAAATTTGAAAAAAAATTTGAAAAAATTTGAAAATTAAAAAAAACGATTAAAAGTTTAATTAACTAATTATTCAATTAATAAATAAATTAATTAATTAAACAATTGATTGATTAATCAACTATATAAAGTAGTAGTCGTAGTAGTAGTAGCAGTAGTCGTAGATGATGGTAATGATGACAATGATAATGATGACAATGATAATGATGACAATTATGACGAATAGGAACTGTAATCGATGTATCCGTATAAGGCTAAGCTTGTATTTAATGGTAAGTAACTTACATATATTTATAATCATAAGCAAGAAGTACAGGTATATTATACTATAAACGAATAGACAGAGCCTGTATATATGTATATTGATATATTAGCATGTAAGTGTATGTGTGTACGTGTATGTATGTTTGAATTATGTATGTGCGTGTGTGTGTGTATGAATTATGTATTTGCGTGTGTGTGTATGAATTATGTATGCGCGTGTGTGTTTGTATGAATTATGTATATGTGTGTGTGTGTGTGAATTATGTATGTGCCTGTGTGTGTGTGTATGAATTATGTATGTATGTGTGTGAATTATGTATGTGCGTGTGTGCGTGCGTGTATGAACTATGTATATGTATGTGTGTGTGCGTGAATGTGTCTGTTAAAAAGGTATCGATCAAGCGCCATTCACAAACAAGCTAAGACGAGCAAAACTGCGATCTACATAAATTTTTATGAGAAATCATTTATCCTTATTATTATTATTAAAAAATCTACAATTAAACGGTCAGGCGGTTTAAAGATCACTGACGTTCGTAACGACAAGCCCCAAATAACACACACACTCACACACTCACTCACTCACTCACTCACTCACTCACTCACTCACTCACTCACTCACTCACTCACTCACTCACTCACTCACTCACACACTCACTCACTCACTTATAATTTATTTATCTATGTTTAAAACCGGGAAACAAAATAAAACAGGACAGCGTAAATGGCAGAACAATCAAATTCACTGAATGACCACTGCTGAACAGGTGAACAAACAAACAAACAAAAAAACAAATGAACAAACGAACGAACGAACGAACAAATAGACACACAAAAAACGAACAAACAAAACGAACGAACGAACGAACAAACAATTTCAAACTGAAATATCTTACTGTGATATTAAATAATCATCTCACAGATCAGAATGACATAAGTATAATAATAGTGATAATAATAATAATAAATAATAATAATAAATAATAATAATAATGATAATAATAATTACTAATTGTAAAAACATCTACACGCCAATTTATGACGACATAAGCATGCCTGCTGTGAAGCTTTTATCATGTAAATATTTTGGAAAGTGGACCACTCAGACAGATAAACAAAAATAATAATTACAATAACATAACCAACAACAACAACAACATCATTAACAACAATAAAAATAATAAATAATAACGTGATTTAAATAAATTGGTTATAAATTAAAAGCAAACTTTTTTTTATCAAAATTTGAAATTTTAAACTTTAAACCGGTGATGATGATGATGATGATGATGATGATTAGATGACGATGGTGATGACGACGAAAGTGAAGACGATGATGTTGACAATGAGCATAATAAACAAAATAATAATAACAACAACAATAATAATAACAATAATGAAACTGAAGACGGTGACGGGTTTCAAGTATTTCGTAGTCAAGCTGTCCTGGAACGAGAAAATGCTGCACAATAACAAAATGCACTATATATATCGAAGGTCACAACAACAACAACATCAACAACAATAACAATAAATAATAATAGTAATAACAACAACAATAATAATTTATAAACAAAACAAACGAACAACACTAGTAACAATCTTGATAATGATAATCGCGAAAAATAAACATATATGAAATAAAAATCTATCAAAAATAATTAGGAATATTTACATAACAATCAGACTAACAACACCATCAATAACAACAACATCAACAACACCAACAACACCACCACCAACAACAACACCACTACCAACAACAACAACATCAACACCACCACCAACAACAACAACATCAACAACAACAACACCACCATCACCACCAACAACAACAACATCATCAACAACATCACTAACGATAAAAGTATTTAATAATGTCATCATACTATGTTAACAGAACGCTCAGCAAATCAGCTTGACAATAAAAATGCCATCTTGCTATTGTTATCGATGTCGGCGTACAGTCAGCGAGCCAACAACAACAACAATGCCAACAACAACAACAACAACAACAATGATAACAGTGCGATAATAAAAATTATAATAGCAACACGCTAATAAAATGAAAACAAGATAAGTCAGAATGACAACAACAGAAACGGCAACAATAAACAACAATACCGTCAACAAAAATAACAATAATACTAATAACATTAACAACAATCGAAGCAACAAAAACAAAAACAACGACGCCACTAATATTATTAAAGTGAAAGCAATAACAACAACCTACCGACAACGCAGTGGAAAATTACAGAGTCCATGAAACAAATTTAAAAATCCGTAATATAATAATAAAAATAATAATAACAACAACAACAACAACAATAATAAGAATAATAACAAGTTGAAACAAGGTCACTATAATCATCTCCACAAGGATCAATACCAGCCCAATCATCTTCATCGCCATTATTATCATAATTCTCATCATCATCATCTTCTTTTTCACCATTGCCATTACTTCAATAATCATCATAGCACATGTCAACATCAGCATACAAAAAATCATCACACTAAGTTTGATATATTAACACCGACGAACGCGTTACGTAACCTAAATTTAAGATATGTACAAATATTACTGCGGTTTGTGTGATCTTGTGTGTGTGTGTGTGTGCGCGCGTAAACATACATACATACACACACACACATACATACACACACACAAATATATATTCGGTAGAATTTATAGAATATTGTAAAAATTATGGTCTATTACCAACATATATGTATATATATATATATACATATATATATATATATATATAATACATATATATAAATATCAACAATGTTCGCACGTACGTACGAAAGTGTATGCGTGTGTCTGTGAAGCTTGAAGTATGTGTCCGTGTGTTTTATAATTTTCGCCATCATAGACAAGCAAATGTGAAACCCTCCAACAAAAATCTAAACACACGCACACGCACGCACGCACACACATACACACACACACACACACAGAGAGAAACACACACACACACACACACACGGGATGGGGAGCATGCTTTAATAAGAACAATTTAAAAACAAAAACAAAACTGAAAAAACTAATATTAATATATACATACATATATATTTTATATACATATTAATAATATATTTATTATATATATCATTTGTACATATGCATTATTGTCATCATCGTATCTATATACAAAACTAAAAAGACGCATGAAGTGCAAGTTAAGAGAAGTGAAGTGGATTGATGCAAATCAGTTCACGAATGCTTTTAAATAAATTTAATAATAATTTATTATAATTATTAAATTATTATTATTAATAATAATTTAATAATAATTTATCGATTGATCTGTCAATCGATAAACTCAATTCAACCAACCCATCAAATTCCATCAAACCAGTATATCATATAAATTAATAAATTAATAAATAATTAAATTATTAATTTATTTATTTTTCATCATATATATCAAAGTACTCAGTCAAGAGGGGTGGCAGATTGCCCTTCTTCAAGGTCAAATTGTACAAGGTCAAACTGTGATCGTGACCCAATGACCTCAAGTTGACCAGCTTCATGAGTAGTCTGGCGAGGTAGTTTTTCTGCGAGGTCCTCCTCTTCTCCACGTAGCTGACCAGTACATCCAGGTAGACTTCCTGTAGTTTCAAGACGAGTTCAGGCTGCGTTAGGCCTGGTCGCTCTGCAGAGGTTTCACGTTGGAGCATGTTTTAATTAAGGTCAGTTGATTAAGTTGAGGTAAACCGCAAATCAATCAACTAGCCAACCAACCAATCAATCAATCAATCAACCAGCCAGCCAACCAAACAACCAGCAAGCCAGCCAGCCAGCCAACCAACCTGCAAATATGGAAATGGCGATGAGCAGGGCGTACTCTGTATTGTCGACGAGGAGTTGATTCATGGACTTGGAAAACTCGAACATCTTGCCGATGATTTCCTTGAGGCCGCCCAGAATCATGCTGTCAGGAGTGAAGAGGGTTCCGTGGGCGAACACGATGGAGTTCGTCTCAGGATCGTACCTTCTGGCTGTCCTCAACATCATCACTTCTGAAGAAGAAGCCTGCAGAAGAGTTCGCTTGTGTACGCTTGTGTACGTGCACTTGTATGTGTGTGCGTGCGTGTACTGCTAAGGCAGAAACATGCGTGTACGTTACGTACGTGCGGGCGCGTAAACTATATGCACAATATTCACATCATTGTATAACAGGCGAGCAAATATATGGAAAGTATTCGAACACACTGTGTCGAAAAATGTTCAATTGGTCCACATTATATGAGCATATGTTTGTTTGTCTGTCTGTCTGTCTGTCTGTTTGTTTGTTTGTATGTATGTATGTATGTAAAAATGAATGTATGAATGTATATATGTATGTATGTATGTATGTATGAATGAATGAATGAATGAATGAATGAATGAATGAATGAATGAATGAATGAATGGACAATTAATTAATTAAAATGAATGCTACCTCATGCGATATGAAACTAATATTTCTAATGAAAATGTGTTGTTATGTTGCAGTTGAACTACACACGAAGTAACAAAGCGTGAAGTAACGTACAAGTACAACACAGGTGTTTGTTTATGGTGGTTAGAGAGCCATCAATAATAACTGATAATAATGATTTAACACGTGTTATGCAAATGAATCCCATGAGGCTGTAATTAATTAATTATTTTAATTAAATATTCTATTTGATTACCAATTAATTAATTAATAATTAAAACTAAATATTCTATCTAATTAATTAATTTATCTCGCGTTGAAAACGAGATAATTATTACGCAAATTATTGAAAACTGATGATGATTACGAAGATGAAGATGATTGTGACGACGACGATGACGACGATGATGACGATGATGACGAAGATGATAACAATGATAATGTAGATAGTTAGAAGAAATGTCATGACTAAAACGACCAATGATGATAAAGAAGACGATGATGTTGTTGTTGATGATGATGATAACGGAAAATTCCAGGGCTACGATGTTGATGATGATGATGATGTAAGGATAATAACGAATGTGATGATAGAAAAGATGAAGACTTTGATGAGAAATGACGACAACAAAGACAACAAAGACAATTACGACAACAAAGACAACGAAGACAATTACAATAATAATTACGTAATATTTACAAAACTGACAATTAAAACAATGACTAGAACACGTTTTTACAAAGTTTTAAGTTGAGTTGATGGATAGATAATGAAGGAAGATGATTAATTTCCTAAAAAGTTCATGGAAAAAAAATTGTTTCGCCAAAAAAATATGAAAGCAAGTGAAGATGCATTTAATTATTTTCAAATAAATATAGAAAGTAATTAATGAAAAAATATAAAACCATATTTAACAGCTAAATATATACACATATACACACTATATACATACACTAGAAACAATTAAAACGACAAGTATATCAGGCTCATCTGAACGTAAAATATTTTTCTACAATTCTGTCCTTAGAACTTCTCAAAAATAGAATCACAACACGACAGTTGGGAATCTCCTTGCAGTTGATCCTAGCCACTGCACTAGCAATGCCAGGCATCTTAACCATTACACTATCAAGCAGGCCATATGTAGGCCTAGGATAACAAGTCATAATTATCAAGCAGGTCATATCTTACTAGTAATTCGATTCAAGTATCTTTTAATTGGAAGCGACACTTATCAAGTTAAGGCTTAAAGTTATTTATTATACATAATATATTTATATACAATGTACATGTATATTTATACTAATGTTTTGTTTTATTATTTTATTTAAAAATATTAATATATGAACGATAATACTCAATTTATTGAAAACACATTAAAGTGTTTTACCATATCTATCGTTAAATATTGAATTGTAATTCTTCAGAATGTCATGTTTGCTTGCTTGTTTGTTTGTTTGTGTGTGTGTGTTTGTGAGTGTGTGTGTGTGTATGTATGTATTTATGTACATGTACATTTATGTTTGTTTGTTTGTTTGTATGTTTGTTTGTTTGTTTGCATGTATGTGTGGAGTGAGTGTGGATGTGAGTGCGTGAAACGTTTATATCATGCAATCGACACATATTTTCATCACTAAGTGCTTTCCTTGTAAATAATAACATCATTTATTCTGAGAAATTTTTTTTATCAATAGAAAATAAATCTAAGAGTCATTGAAGATATTTTTTTTCCTGTTTCAATTATAATTAATTGCATTACTCTGTTATTTGAAGGCTTGTCATTAAACTTATTGAGATGCCTTCAATGAGTTTACCTGTTTGATTAATTGAAAAGTACTTATTAGATAAAATTTTTGAAAGAGAGGGGAATTGAAATAATTAAAATTTTTCTTCAAGTAACTGAATTACTTTATGTTGCTATTTTCAAAATAGAATACGCATTTATGAATGTATATCCACAGATGTGTGTGCGCGCGTGCGTGCGTGTTGGCGTGTAATTGTGTATGTGTGTGTGTGTGGGCGTGTTTTTGTGTGTGTGTTTGTGTGCATGTTACTTTTCTAAAATTAAAAAACTTTCTCACAAATAGATCTTTTTGTTGCAGTTATTTTTAGCATAAACATCTCAACTGTACTCTAACTGAACAAGCCTAAACAACGAACGCAAAAATAAACATACCGATTGACGGGCTGCTAAAATAATGAAATTTTTTGTTACCGAAATATCTACACAATAATATGAGAGTGTTGGCGTGATATAAACGCGTCAAAAAATTATTCTGAAAAAAAAACCAGGTCCTTTTTTATAATTTAAAATATGGGCTTCACAATATGACAACATAACATGACATAAGACACAACATAACCAGAGTAGGTGAATGAATGAATGAGTGAATGAGTGAGTGAGTGAGTGAGCGAATGAGTGATGAACAGTAAGTTTGATGACCTGAATCGATTAATAAGATTCATCTGATTAATTCAAAGTCAGATTTCAATGTTTCGCTACGAGAAGCAATAAAAACGAGCAAGAGAATTATTGAAATTGAATATACGTCGCTAAATGTCCTGTTCAAAATATGCATACACACGCTAAAACGCCATTTTAAATATGTAGGATGTTAACAGTAGAGGAAAGGTACATAAGAAGATTCATCGGGGACAGCTACAAAATGATCCGACAATCTTCTTGGAATATCCTTGCATTCAAAGCCGGGTACTACAGCGAAGGTTTCTAGAAATTTCTCACGATTACATCTCACCTTCATTCAAATGAGTATATAACTATAATATATTCAGCAGGTAGGTCAACAATTTTTGGTTGGATGATCTGTCAGACATGGGTAGGGCAGCTGATAACATACACACACACACATAACATACACACACACACACAAACATATAACACACACACACATACATGTGAGTAGGAAGTATGTATGCAGGATATGATAGTATGTAGACAAGCCTGTTCATGATATTAATATAGAGGTAAAAATGAGAAACAAAATAGCACAAACAACAATAACAACGACGACCCTTAGATGTTGCCGACGATCCAATGAAAACCTGTTATACCATCTGTTACTCGTTGAATGTTGTTGTTGTTGTTGTTGTATTTATAGCCAGCAGATGAGTAAATACACCAGGCCTATGCAACAAGCAGACAATGCGCACCTACCTATGTGATGCTGTGGATACATTTGCCTTTTTGCACTAGCATAGTTTCACTCGAAGCAAAAAATACGTATGCGCCTTCGTACACCGTGTGTGGCGAGTGTACGTGCGTGTGTGTACGTGCGTGTGCGTGTGTGCATAGCACACAAAATGTTTGAGCTTCGGTTATATTTGTTTTTCTGTTTAATCTCTTTGACAACGGCGATGTTTTAACTAATAAGTTTTGGGAGAGAAAGATGAAATAGAAAATAAAAATGTTGACCTAAATCTATTTTAAAAAAGTAAAAATAATAATGATAAATAAATATTGAAAAAAAACGCCTCTTGATTTGTGAGGAATAAAGATTAGGCGGAAAAATGTCACGGGAAAGCGAAGTGATGAGTAAAAGTAAATTTATATCTGTGTGTGGAGATGCATAAACAAACAAACAAATGAACGAACAAACAAACGAACGAACGAACAAACAAACATCAATGAATAAATAAAGTAGATCGCATAAGAAATCTAATTAAATAGATAATATTTTTGTGTTAATGCATTTATTTGTGAAGACTAGAAAAATTTCGAACGTCATAACATCCCCTCAATCATCATTCTCACCATCATCATCTCAGTCATCATCATAATCAACTTCACCATAAAAACGAACGAATCGCAACCACGACGGCACGTCGAAAGTGTAGTTAAAAACACGACCACTAGAACACGAGCCACCATCAACGACAAGCCAGCCAGCCACATTATGTCGTTACGTTCTACAATGTTCTCGTTCACTCGCCACATATCAACAACTTCTTAGAACGACAAAAATAAACGAAGCCATGTATAAAATATATTTCATAACGTAAACAACATTACAACTATGGCACGTTCAACAAACAAACAAACAAACAAACAAACAAACAAACAAACAAACAAACAAACAAACAAACAAACAAACAAACAAACAAACAAACAAAAAAACAAACAAGCGAACAACCGAACAAACGAACAAAATAAAACAACCAAGAGCAAATGAACAAACAAGAAGTAATAGACATTTAATAATAATGACTCAATCTTCATTCGTTTTAATACAGACGCATCTAAATATCTCAAATGTATGAATATTTTCCATCTTACCAACGCGAGCTTGTATACGATTATACCCACAGATTCATTAAAATGTCAACGTAGCCAAACTAATCCTGGCGTTATGTGAACGCACTGCTAACGTAAAAGTTATCGTTCGTGATTGATTATTTTATATAAACGCATTTGCGTTTCAGCAGTCCTCAAGAAAAAATTTCAATTGGGAAAATAAATCAGTTGAATGATGTAGAAATAACGCAGACATCAGCTATAATTTGGATAACATCATTATAACTACTAAGAATATTATCATTATCGCCATCATCATTACCATCACTCTCCACATCATCATCATCACCATCATCATCACCATCATCATCATCATCACCTGCACCATCAGCAGCAGCATCATCATCACTATCATCATCACCTGCACCATCAGCAGTATCATCATCATTATCACCATCATTACTATTGCCTGCACCATTATTATCGTTATCGTCATCATCATCATCATCATCACCTGTACCATCATCATCGTTATCATCATCGTCCCCACTATCATCATCAGCATCATCATTACAAATATTACCTACGAACCTTGAGTAGTATGATTTGGTCTTCCTTAAGCAGGCCTCGGAAGCCAGGCAGGTTCTTGGCGAATTCGACAATCAGCCTCGTCACCAAGATGGCCATCTCGACCATGTAAACAAAGATGGCGTCGCTCAATTCCTCTTCCGTTTTCGATTGTTGCATTTTTTCGTGCTGTTGTACGTAAGGGTGATGATGGTGATGATGGTAGTTGTGATGATGACGATGATGATGATGATGACAATTGGTTGGTTATGATGATATTGTGGTGATGATGGTAGCTGTGATGAGGATGTTGTGCCGCTGATGATGTCGAAAAGTATGAAAATGATGATTCGAAATGATCATTATTAACTAGACGATGGTGATATAAGAAATGCGATGGTGATTAACTATGACCCAAATAAGATGTAACGACAAGAGAATCAACAACAAAATCAGCAAAAACCAAACCAACAACAACAACAAATAAACAACAACAACAACAAAACAACAAAAAACAACTCTAATGATATAATAAATATCAAAGAAAACGTCCAAAATAGTAGTATTGCTTCAGAGGCGCCTGAAGCTAGCGTCCAGACGCAACGGATGTTAGATAGCGATGATGAATCAATTTTAAACTGTGCGCTTTGGCGTGCATAGCAAAAGATTTATAATTACTAAAATACATTATATTATATTATGCTATATTATATTATATTATGCTATATTCTATTATATTATATATTATATTTATTTATGTGGATGACAGTGCATTTCAGAAATATAGATCGGTAAATATAATAGGTATATCCGTTGTGAAATTTTAAAATAATATGATGATGAATGACACGGTGATGAAAAAAATGATGTAATGGCGAGAAAAATAGTCGTAATTAGTAGAATTGTGAGTGAAAATAGTAATCATGGTGACGACGACGACAACGACGATGATGATGGTGATGGCAAGAAATTATTAAAGAAGACAGTTATATTGGCAAATGAATGATCAAAATGATGAAAAAAATTACAATAAAATAATGATAACATGGCGACAATATTAACAACAAATTGACAACTAACTAATCAAAGGTAATGATGATGACGGAATGACATTACAATAATAGCGACTGTGAAATGATAAGTAAAAAACCCTTGATGACGATGAAGACGAAGACGATGAGAAGGATGATGACGATGACGTCTGTTGACGTCTGTTTCTTCTTACAGCAAGAGTCTGCTAAGAAATAGGCAAACAACAAAGACGATGAAGACGAAGACGATGAAGAAGAAAAAGAAAAATAATAAAATGAAAACAAAAATAAAAATAGAAAAGTAGGGCAGCATGAAAAAAAGACGGAAACGCAAGTAATCGTCGTCGTCGCTCCAGCCGTCGCGTAAGCTGCGATGCATCAGTACTTTATATCTAATGCATTTATACATATACTTATATTTAATTATATTTATGTTTTTATTTATTCCCAATTTATAACCAAGAAATAAATCATGCTTGTGAAAGGGGAGATAAACAAACACACAAAAGACACACAGACAGACACACAAACAGACACACAGACAGACACACAGACAGACACTCAGACAGACACTCAAACAGACACACAGACAGACACACAGACAGACGCACAGACACCTAGTCCCTTTTTCATATAATGCTGTTTAGGCATTTAAACTCATTCATGTAAAAAGTTTTACGATCCATTTGTAGAATGTACCCATCCATGTATACAACCTGGAAAGATACAAACACTGTAGACATAAGCAGCAGGTAAGCAAAAAAGAGCTATCTAATGTATCATTTATGATATATTCATCTATTAAGAACATTCGTTCGTGCTATCATCGTCAGAAATATTGTATCTAACTCTATCATCGTAACAATTACTATCACTGTATCATTGCATGTATCGAAATCTATCATCAACCCTATTATAAGTGTCAGCTTTTTCATGAACGTAAATATTGACCAAGAATGAACAAATAAAGTTGTTAAAAAACGTGGAAAAACATGCTAAAAAGACATCTATGTGAGTGTATATATATATATATATATGTGTGTGTGTGTGTGTGTGTGTGTGTGTGTGTGTGTGTGTGTGTGTGTGTGCAAGGTTTATAAAAATAGAGTTATCCTTTATTCAGGTAACTATAGTTTAACTCTTAACGCTGATGCTGAAGATTTATTTAAGTTAACATGAATGTTTGTTTCAAAGAGCTGTTTATCTACCTGTCATTTGCTTGTTTATTTTACTTAGTCTTTATTTAATGCAGTCTGACTGAGAATTCATTGCAAGTAGAAGTCCTTGATAAGTTAACAACAATTCCCGTAAGCTAGTATTAAAATTTGAAAGACATTAAACATTTTTATTCCTAAAATTCTCAACCTTGAAACACATACAATCATCTAAGCAATCGAAGGCACATATACACACACAGACACACACACACACACACACACACACACACACACACACACACACACACACACACACACACACACACACACACAAAGACACATGCACAGTGGCACACACGCACATAGCACAAATATTTACACACATATCCTCTACGCATTACACATTTAAGTTATCGATGTTTGCCAAAAAAAATTTTTTCAAAAAATTAAAATAAAATAAAATAAAACAACTTCAGAGCATATTTATTTGACATTGTTTGTCTACTGATCAATAGTGAAAGAACATTTGTTTGTACGAACAAATGTACAATATGTCAATTGTCGATACATCAACACGTCATTCCATCCTTTCATAACTCTTTTTAATCATCTTTCTCATCAAACTTTATCTACGAATTGTCATTTTAATGACATTTTCATCATCATTCTTGCCAATATCATATCATCAACATTTTATCTACATGTTGTCATCCTATTGGGGTTTTTATCACCATTTTTTTTAACCATTTTCACCACAAATGTCTAGTCATCTTCATCGTCGTCGGCTTCATCACTATATTCTTCATCACCAACCTCATAACCTCATAAATTCTTACATTAGATAACTGGTAGATTCAGCACTAATACATTCACACAAGTGTCATCAAGTTGCACCCATTAAAGTCACATCAGTAGCGAAATTAACAACAACAACCAACAACAACAACAAAAAAGAAATGACATTAACAACAACAAAAAAAGAAACGACATCATCATCGGCAACAACAACAACAACAATTACAGCATTGTTTGCTTTCAACAACATCAAAAACAACAGCAACAACAACATCGATAAAAGCTGTAGAGTACAACGTAGAGAACAACACTAACATTTTACTGCAACAGCAATCACCATTTCTCATTCTAATACTACCAACACAATGAATAGAACCCTTGCTAACCGTAAAGCAATTAACAATAATGACAGCAACAACAACAACAACAACAAACAACAACAACAAAAAACATCAATAACAACATTACTAATAATGATGAGAGAATACGAAGAAAAAGATTAATAAGAATAAGAACGCAACGTTAAATGATAACCATAAAAAATGACGATTTTAATAGTATGAAAATAATAAATGAAATAAAAATTAATTCAGTTTATTTATTTAATTAATTTATTAATTTATTTAAAAAAATAGGTGAAGAATGATTTAATTAATATCGGTTCCTTGGAAGAGGCCGAAAAAAAAAATTTTTTCATTTGACAAATTTTCTAAAAAATAAGTAATCGTTCTTTGACAATAAAAGCATAACAAATCTAATTTAAAAGAATATTTTTTTTACAAAAATAAAAAAATTATTTAAAATAAAAATATGTCAAATAAAATAACGAATAATAACATCATAATAAAATAATAATTGTTATTATATAACTGCTATAAAAATCTGAAATTTCAGAAAGAGAGAGAGTGAAAGAGAGAGAGAGAGAGAGAGAGAGAGAGAGAGAGAGAGAGAGAGAGAGTGAACGAAAGAGAAAAATAGAGAAAGAGGCGAAAAAAATGTGATAAAAGCAAGCAAAATGCACCCACCCATGCATGCGACGTGAACACTGAATGATAGAAAGATGAAACAAATGAATTAAAAGCAGCATGAGAAGGAGAGAGAATGTAGAAAAATATGAGAGAACATGATGGAAAGATGAAAAGAAGGAGATAAAAAGAATGAATGTTTATTCGGTGCATGTGTTGAGATTGTTTCGCTTTCACTGACATGAGATCTGAGTATGTGTCAAGATCAAAAAATGTTATAAAATGTAGTTTTTATACTTTTAACAAATTCTGTCTGGTAAATGTCCTAAAAATTTCCATTAAAATTCATTTTGCTTCCACGTATCGTATTTCCAGAATATAAAAACTAGAATATAGTGATAGTGATGATATCACAATCAGGACTGCTTTGGTTGTCATAACCATAATGAGAATGATGATGACGATGATGGTAATGGTGATGATGATAGTTATGACGAGGGTGATGGTTATGATGATTACAACGATCAATCATCATAATTATCTGCGATATTCTCGTTATATATGTTGTCGGCGGTCTAGCAGCCAGTTGCTAAAACAGTAGTTGTTTAGTTTACGCTGACGATGACGTCATAATTGCACACAGTTGACTGAATTGAAACAAAAGAAGATAATCCCCTGTCATTAACTGTAAACAATAAATGCTATGCTACGTTCATTCAATTAAATAACGGACGAACGAACGAACGAATGAGTGAATGAATGAATACCAAAAAAAAATAGAAAACTAAGTTGATGAATAAATAGAAAATAGAAACTGCACGTACACTAACACTGCTTGACAACAACGTACGGACAAACAAACAACAAGCAATGAAACGATGGCATTTCGAGTGAAGGAATTAAAGAATTAATGAGAAAACGAACGAATGACTGAACAAACGAACGAACAAATAATGAATAAACGAACGAATGAGCGAGCGAACGAACGAATGAGTGAAGGAAGAAATTAAAAAACGGACGAACGCATGGACAAGCGCAGCTGAACATCGACCATAAACTCAAACGAAGAGAACAGCATTAAGAAGGAACGAAAACAAATGAAAACCGCACGCGTGTAGAATCCTCCAACCCTGCATAATCGATAATGGGAGCAGCGAAAAAAATCGCTAAAAAATTCACCTGCAAGTAAATTGGAAATTAATTCGCAAACAACGAAACTAAAAATATACTAATACAAAAACAAACAAACAAATGAATACATACAAATAACGCGTACAAAAAATTGTTCATAAAAATTTCCACAAAAAAAACACGATCCTTGAACGATAGATACATAGGCACAGGTCAGAAACAATATGAGTAGAGTAGAACTGCGCGATATATAAGGCCAGTAGTATTGCATTCGTCGTCAACCGAGTTGCAGGACAGATACGATACGATACCATTCGATACGATACCATTCAAAACGATACGATGCAATGCAATGAGTGTGAGAGAGATACGTGCATATAGTTTTGTATTGTGTATTTATGATGATACACACACGTCTGTATTGTATTTCTGTGGTACATCAATCATAATACGCATGTGTGTCATATCATGTTGTATTTCTCGGATACAGAAGTAGTAATACAGAAATTGGTATTGTATTTTTTAAATACACAAATATTGATACACATATTTGTATTGTATTTTTATTGTATTTTCGCAATACACCAATCACAAAACATTAATTTGTATTGTAGTATTGTAATAATAGTATTGTGATACTAATACTTACCGACACACAAGCAAACACAAAAACTTAGATATATATCAACACTCATTTTTATTTTCACATGAATAAAATGGATGAACAATAGTTAGTTAATTTTTACGCGTAATGCGATTCGCAAAGTTCCAAATAAAATGCATGCAATTAAAAAATTTTTAAAAACAGAATAAAAAAATTAAATAATAAAAAATATATACAATTAGAAGCTGAATGTTTTATAATCAGATAAAAATCTCTAATTCAATCCGTTCATACGCTCATTCATCCATCCATTCGCTCATCCATCCACCCATTCATTCTTTCATTCATCCATCCATTCATTCATTCATCCATTCATCCATTCATTCCTCTACCCACGCATTTATTCATACATCCTTCATTCATCTCTCCAATCACCCAATACAACAAGCTCATAATAAGTTCTTTTTTTCCTCTATATAGAAAATTTCGTTTTGTGCAAAAATGAAAAAGTGAAAAAGAGATAGATGCAAAGAAAGAGAGAGAGAGAGAGAGAGAGAGAGAGAGAGAGAAAGAGAGAAAAGAAATAAATCAAAAAAGAAAGTGAAGGAAAAATAGAGTGAGAGAGAATAAAACTTTGAAAACAAACAAGATAGGCGAAGAAATAGAGCAGTAAGAAGACTGCATTGGAGGAAAGTAGGCCAATCTTACAAGGCAAACACGTTGTGTTGGACTTGTTTGTTTGTTTGTTCACGTTGATATGACGACGATCAGATAATGAAGATGACAACGACGATGATGAAGACGATGATGAAGACGATGATGAAGATGGTGATGAAGATGAGAATGATAAGGATGAATAAGGAGACGATGATAGGGGTGATAACATAGAAAATAAAGATGATGCTGATGATGAGTGGAATGATTATGATGAAGATGGTAAAGATGATGAAGATGGTAAAGATGATGAAGACGAAAAGATCGGTGATCATGATAATGATGATAAAAGAGACAACGGCAAAGTTATGACGAAGATGATAACAAAGATGAAAACAAACATCATTACTACTACCGCATGATGTTGCTGATGATGTTACGTCGATGATGATGACGATGGATACAAAGTAGGATGATGGTGGCGACGATGATGACGATACCAAACAATCAGTGATTACAAATTATTTCAGCTGTCCAAGGGATAAACATTAGAATGAAAAGAGATCAAGAAATAAACAAGCGGGCGAACAAAATAAATGAAAGCAGATAGAAAAAACGCAACAGTAATAATAATAATAATAATAATAATAACAATAATAATGAGAACGATCTTTTATTCATTTATAATAACAATAATAATAATAATAAGCATCAATTGTTCTTGTCTTTAATACTTGAGTATATTTGTCCTAGATAGATTGATTGAATACTTTTACGAGAACTTCACTTCACACACACGCTCATACACACACGTACACACACACACACACACATATATATATATAAACACGCACATACACACACACGCATAAATGCACGCATTGGTAAGGACTTGTGTACCTACACAACAAGCACACATTCGGAAAAGTACTCGCAAAAACGTACACGCACACAAACCAACGCATATTTATACATAGGGAAATCTTTTACTCACCATGAACTCTTGAAAATTTAATTTATTTTTTTCTCATACAATTTTTTGGTTATTCGTGTTGTTGCACTCTTCTTTCGTTTTTATTTAATTATTTATTTTTTTTAAATGCATGTCTCTCCCTGTCTCTTAAATGCATGTATCTAATTATTTATTTTTTTTAAATGCATGCCTTTCTCCTTCTCTCCCTCCCCCCTCTCTCTTTCTCTCTCTCTCCCTCACTATTCAACAAAAATGCACTGAGAAATAAGTGCTAGAAATGGTTTTCTTGTCGCAACAGAACAACAACAACAACGAACCAAAACAACAAACCACAAAACAAAATAAACCACAACCAATTAATGTCATTAACTACAGCAACAAAATAACATTAATATCAACAACAACCACAACAAAATAACAACATCAACGACACCCCCAAAAAAAACAGCAAAAACATCAACAATATTAACAACTATACTACATATACCATACCGCCAACTTATAACCATAATCAACAACATTAACGACTATACTGTATACACCATACTAGCTATTATACATCAATGACATTAATGACAACAACAAAATAACTTAACAACAAAATGCTATCATTATTAAATAACTTTAAAAATACATCATCATCAGTGTGGCAAACTCGAAGGTAGTATATTGCGTTTTCTAATGCATAAAGTATAAGTTATAGAAAATACAAAAACATACATGGGCAGAAAAATAATCTAACAAACAACTAATAAAAACCAAGAAAAATGTAACCCTGATAAAATAATATAATATATGCCATCCAACAACAACAACTACAACAACAACAGCAGCAACAACAACAACTCCAGTACAACAGCATCAACAACAACAGCAACAGCTCCAACTTCAGTACAACAACAACAACAACCAACAAAACATGCACCGACTGACCGTCACTAATTTGAGGTCGTCACTACTGGGCAGTTCGTACTTGTCTTGCAGGTGAACAATCCTCTCAATGAGCTCCTTGTAATCCTCACTCAACAACGATAGGACGTCTTTGCTGCCGCTGATCGCCAGCGCTGCTAAAGCTGGTGTGTTCGCTGCAGCCGCTGCTGTTGAGGGCGTCGATGACGAGTCAGAACTGTAATTGTTGGTGGTGTTGGTTGGTATCGGTTAATGATAAAATCTTTTGGCTTGTTTTTTACTTATAGTCATAAAAATTTGTTACTATTAAAATTCTTAGTATAATATATAGAAAGCCTTGTGTACATTATCTGCAACAAATCCATAGCAAAACACTGAGGCTAATATCATCAAATCGAAATGGCCATAATCGCCAATCGTAATCATCGTCGGCGTCATTATCAGCGTCACCATCGTCGTCATCACATCACCACCAACCTAGTTGATAATTCTTTCTTCTTCATCTTCATCTTCCTCTTTGAGTTACGTATGATACACTGGTGTTCTGTTAGCAGGCCTGAATAGGTTTTCGTTTGTGTATCGCTAACAACACCTCATTCCATAGATAGCATCCAAACTATTCCAATTCATGTCATCTCATCTCAATATCTTATCCTAAGTTATACTAACAAGTCATTTCATGTTACCCCCACATCTCCTCATTCGAAGTTTTCTCAACATCCCAATCCATGTTATCCCGACATGTCGATTTAAGTTATCACAACCTACCATTTCACATTATCCAAACGTACCACCACCGAATTCCCATCTCAGTGTACTAACACTCCTCTCGCATTCCGACTTGCTTGCACCTCTTGAGACGGCAGGCCGGACACTTCCTTCTCATCCACATGTCCATCTCGCAGTCGCCACCGTACTTGCATTGGTAGTGCAGTTTGCGGGTGATTGTCCTCCTGAAGAAACCTAAGTGGTCGGTTGGTTGGTTAGTTGTTTGGTTGAGTGATTGGTTGAGTGATTGGTGAATGATTGAGTGATCAGATGGTTGGTTGATTGATTTGATTGGTTTGTTGGTTGGTTGGTTTGTTTGTATGTTGGCTGATTGGTTTGTCGATGTGCTGATTATTTAAATGAATGATTTATTGAGTGATAGCTTTTGTTTTCTAGCAAATCAAGTGATCGACAAATTAACTGAATAAGTTGTTGAATGATTGATTGAATTGTCGAATGAACAACTAGTGGAATAATTAAATAAATTTGTAGACAATTCAAATAAATTTTGAAGGTTAACATTTTTTTTAATAAACAGAAACTTCAATCAGACGATCAAAAAATTAGCAAGTTTAGTGAGATTAAATAGCTAATTAAGAGGTGATGAACTGTTTTGAGCAAGTGCTCATAAACAATATATTCATATTCATTCATTCATTCATTCATTCATTCATTCGTCCAATCATTGATTGATTGACTGATTGATTGAGTCATTCATTCATTTATTCATTCATCCATCTATTGATTGATTGACTGATTGATTGATTGAGTCATTCATTTATTCATTCTTTCATTGCGATTTTGGGCCTACATAATAACTTGAACATATTGGTTGAAAAGTTGTTTACAGGCACAATGCAGTCTAATTTTTGGCCTTGGAGAGGAGATTTAAAAATCAACAAAAACAAATTTTTAAATTCATTTTAAACTTATAATTAAAAAAACTTTTTAAGATACGTTCGTTCTTTTTTTATCATGCAGTTAGTTGTTTTTGAAAGCTCAATCAGATACTATAACCACACATTTGATTAAATTTAGTGGCTGGGTGTGAGATGGTTTATGGTTTATCAAGTTGAGTATCTTTAATCTTTAAGCTGTTTCTACTTACGCTAAGATGTTTTTAAGTTCTCTCTTTTTCCCTATCCCTCTTTCTTTCTCTCTCTCTCTCTCTCTCTCCTCTCTTCTCCCTCTCTCTCTGGTGCGCGCGCGTGCGTACAAATTCTACAAATTGCAGTTTTTTCAACTTATTAAACGACCCATTAAGAGTTAATTATTCATTTAAACAAAACCATAGAGTTAATTGCTCACTCAGAGCGAAGTGTGAAGCATGCCGTAGATACATGTAGCGACAAGATTTGTACTTTCATGCTATTTCAACAATCACACAAAAAGTTTTTTCTGATTCAACTCCTTCAATTAGCCAATTCTTAGTTATTTAATTAACCATCTTAATTATTGTTAGTGTGAATTTTTACTAAGCTTACGTAGTTGTGGTTATGTTTTATATAAATGCTTCTTTTGTTGATGGCTCCTATTTCTCAACTCATCAAACCATCTTTTATTGTGTTCATCTTTCTTGCAAGAATGATGAAACTACGTGATGATGTATAATCATCTATATCATCATTTCATTCATCATGTGAATTGTGATGATCATCATCGTCATCAGCATCACTTTTGTAAATAACATAATTTCGATTCCCCCTACATTGTCGTCATCATCATCCCATCATCTTCATCATTATCGCCATTATATGACCAAAACATAACCATCATTATAATCGTCATCCTCGTCATCGTCTTCATCATCTTTGTCATTTATTCTATTTAAAAGAAGTTACGAAATCTTTGAAGGATTTGGACGGCCATTCCATCCATCCCTCAATACACCCATTATCTTTTTATCCCCATCTCCAGGTGCATTATTCAAACACCATCATTGAGATCACCTCCTAAGCCATCATCACTATCATCACCACCATAACCATCACTATCATCATCACCACTACCATCAATATCATCATCACCATTACCATCCTTATTATTATCATCATCATTACCAGCATCGTAATCAACAGTGATCCAAACATCATTATCACAATCGTAACTGTTGTTACCGTATTTATATCAGTAGATATCAGTTTGATTTCCATAACGAATTAACGTCACATCATATAACAGTAAGATGTTGATTGACACAGCGGTTGATTTCATTATCATTAGCATCAACATTATCATAAACATTATCATCAACATTATCACCATTGTCATCATCATCATCACAAACATCATCAACATACACATCATCATCAACTTACAATACTGTTATTGTCGTTAACATTATTGTTATAATTAAAAAAGTCTAGAGATAATTTACTTTAAAAAATTGTTAATTAACATCAGAACTTAATTTCGGCAGCTTTTCCTTCCACTGAAATGATAAATTTATGTTGTGAGAAACATTTTACATTTTAAATCGGTCAAACAAATGACAAAAAAAGTTTACCAACAGTTGAACCTACTAGTCTATCAACACTCAGATAAACTGGGTTTATCACAAGTCAAATTTAGTTTATGTTTAAAAGACGTTTAAAAAAGAGTTGAACTATTTTTAAATCTTTATTTCTTGTTTGCTTAACTTCATTTTTGTTGAAAGAAATGAAAAATTTTGGGACCAGAAAAAATTTCTTTTTCAAAAAGTCGACGGCCTGCGGCAAGACAAACAGTTCCTTTTAAAAGACGGAGAAACATTTTTCTTTGGAAAAAAAAACGAAGGATAATGAGAATGTTGACGGGCAAGATGACGACGACAAAAACAAACTAATTATGACGATGATGATGGCAATGACAAAATTTTTATTAGCAGTCTGATATAACAAACTATATCAGCTGAGATGTATGCAGGCACACAAAACGCATGCACGCTCATACACACACAGAGACAGACAGACGAACACAGACGCACTCACACACACACATGCACACAAAATTTAGATTAAAGTATTTATATGTAATACATTCTATTGTATCTCGATTTTGTATTTTTACAGATACTTAAGTATGTATTAATTGTATTAAATGTTTGAATGTAGTGTTAAATGTGGTATGTTATAAAGAAAAAGAAGTGCATTGTAAAATTATAAAAAAAAGAAAAATAAAAACATTGAAAATGGTAAATAAAGTTCAATCTTTAAAATATCAAAGGCCATTTTAAAAAAGAAAAATTTAAGATTCAAGGAGCGTTGTCTTATGCTTAGAATTATTCATAAGAGTTACTAAAGCTTTCATCACATATCGTTTCATCATGTTTTATCATATCTCTATGATATTAGAAGTCTTCAAATTCGATAAAACCTGCCTAGCAAACTTAGAAACGTTTGCATGCAACATACCGAACAGACACAATGACACATTCATCGTATAAACTCGATCATTCATTTGGTTAATCATTCATTCATCAACTAATTGATCCAATCAGTCATTCGTTTATTCACACACACACACACACTCACTCACTCACTCACTCACTCACTCACTCACTCACTCACTCACTCACTCACTCACTCACTCACTCACTCACTCACTCACTCACTCACTCACCCATTCATTCATTCATTCATTCATTCATTCATTCATTCATTCATTCATTCATTCATTCATTCATTCAAAAATCATGTAACAGATTCACTCATGCATGCATGCATGCATGCGACGTTGTATGAACGCACGTCCCGGTCTTCTTAACCTAAAAATTTTTTTTTACTTTTTATAACGATGAAACGCAGTAACAATGAATTAACTGAGTGACTTAGTGAATGAATGAATGAATGAACGAATGAATGAATGAATAAATGAGTGAATGAATGAATGAATGAGTGAATTAATGGGTGAATGAATGAGTGAATGAAAAATTTATTAACGCATTTTATTTATTACAATGTCTGTCTGAGACTTGGGTAAAAAGAATTTTATTGCACAAATGTAAATGTTTATTTGGGTTTTGTTCATGGTTGTTTACGTAGTTAAAATCGCATAAAATTGTATTCATGCTAGCACGCAAACAAGAAATTAATTAATTAATTAATTAATTAATTAATCCATTCATTAATCGAAATCATACACATATGTGTGCGTGCGTGCGTGCATTTGTGTATGTGTGTGTAGTGTGTATGTGTGTAGATATGTAATGTGTAAGTGGGTGTGTGTGTAGTGTTTTTCATTGTGTATGTACAGTTCATGGAGAAAAATATTTTTTTTCCATGTTATAATAGTATACATAAAAGAAAAATAAGGCAGTTGTGACAAACATTTATTTGGAGTTTTGAAAACCATTACAAACCATCTAACCGCCACCAAGCATTAACCAACAACAAAAGTCACACACACACACGAACACACACACACACGCACGCACGCATACATGCACACATACACTCAAAAGCAAGCACTCATAAATACAATACCGTCACATTCACACACGAAGACATTACACAAACTCATAAGAAAACACACACACGCACACTAATTGCCGAAACAAATGGTTATACAACAGCTTATAAAATTACGCTCTTTAAATACACAATACATATAACACATCTGTAAAATTTAAAAATAAGTACCTATGACAAAACGAGTTGCTATGCACACAGAAACACACGTACACACATATGCACATATATACACATACATGTACGTACGAGTTTGTGTGTGTACGTGAGGATATGTATTTGAGACAGTGTTTCCAGGCCCAAAAGCCAAAAACATACTTGCTCCACTTGCATGAATTATAAATAAATGCTAAATAATAAATGCATGTGTATGTAAATACGTGGGTGTGTATGTGTGTATCTTTAGATGTGTGTGTGCGTGTGTGAGTGGTGTGTAGAGACCATATGTGTATATATATGTTAGTGTGTGTGTGTATAGATGCTTATTAACTTAACCTACATTAATTGCCTATAAATAACACAAATGTATGAGTTTGATTGTGTTTGCGTTGTAAATTTGTATTCGTGTGGGCCAAGAAGTGTAACATTACCTTTGAGATCCTTGAGATTGCTGTGCAAATAGGAGGAGTGAATGTGTAAATATGCTGGTCGGTTGTTCAAACAAGTTTAAGCTTACAAATTTTATATTTAATGGTCATTAACGTCATTAATCCTCATCATCATCATCATCATCTTCTTCGTCACCATCATCATCGTCACCATCATCATCATCGTCACCATCATCATCATCGTCTGAATTTTCTTCAACGTCATTATCATCGCTTCGTCTAGCCAACAATGCGATCAATTAAAAAGTCAGTGAATAAATGAATGGATGGATAAATGAATGGATGAATAAATAAATGGATGAATAAATAAATGGATGAATATGTGAATGGATGAATAAATGAATGGATTGAATGAACGAAAGATTGAATAAACGAATACAAAAATGAATGAAAAAAACAGGATAAAGGGAAGCCAATGTCTGAGTTTATAATACGCACAAACAAACTTCTTAAAAGCAAACATACAATTTTTTTAAATAAAAATTCATAAAAATTTTTCTAAAAAAAATTAATTTTTTAAAGAAAACAACCAGCCAGCCAACCAACTACCCCAATCCAAATGAAAAACACATTATTGTATGGATTTTAAACATGCTACAAAACAAATACACACACACACACACCACACACACATACACACTGGTCCATTCTCTCTCACACACTCTCTCTCTTTTTCTCTCACACACTCAGCCACTCTCTGATTCTCTCTCTCTCTCTCTCTCTCTCTCTCTCGCATACACACACACAGAGAGAGAGAGAGAGAGAGAGAGAGAGAGAGAATCACGCGTAAAGACAAAAGAAAAAATAATTGTATATATTCATTCAAAAATACAAACACACACGAATAGATATATCTATAAAATATTAATTCGGAATACTTGATATGAGAAATTATATGTCGATCAAATGTTGAATCATCTATAGACAAGCGTTCATAACAACAACCTATATAAACACACATACATACGCACATACATGGTTTCACAAAAACATACACACATACACACACACACACTTATATACATACATGCTTTTGAAAACTTTTTGATTTTAATTAGCGCTTATAAATGTTTCATTAATAATAAATAATACATACATACACACATATATAATTGAACACATACATACACACATGCATAGTTACACACATACAAAGTTACCTGCATATTCATACATATGTTTATCTAAAGAAAGCGAAAGTAAATAAATAGAGTGCATCATATGCTGTTTGTTGCACATTCAGCAGCAATAATATATAAGTCTGTGCGCACGGCAAAAGAACAAATAACATTGCTGCGTTTGTTTATTTGTCTGTATGTGTGTGTGTGTGTACGTATATGCGTGTGTGTTCGTGCGTGTGTGGGTATTTAAATCCACGTTATTTTCGTCGTCAATAACAACTACAACATCATCTTCTTCTTCATTATCACGATCATCTGGGACGGCAACAAAATCACGCATGCGTAAGATGACAAACGTGCACACACACACACACACACACACACACACACACACACACACGCACGCACGTATACAATAAACATATGCATGTTAATAAATGACTATACAGTTAGAACCAACAGAACATATCTTTACTAACATTTAAACCTAGACAAAACGCAACAACATATCTACGTGATCTACCTTATATTTGTACGTAGATGCATAGTTCAGCGTACAATGTACAAAAACACACATGTTCTATACATAAACACGCACATCACACACACACACACACACACACACGCACAACAACACACACACTGCTTATAATATATAAGGGAAATTAAAATTTAACTTTTCTCGACATTTCCACAGCGATGATGATGACGACCTGAAGGCGTTCGGTTCGGAGTAATATTGAACAAGTGCGAAATAAATACAAACACAATTATATAGGATGTGAAGACATGCACACACCCACACATACCCACCCACACACAGACACATAGATAAGCAAACACATATACAACAGGCATGCAGTCACATAAAGATGACATTGACACACATACATAGTTTGACGAAGACTGACAAACAGGAAAGTACATAAACAGACATACACACAAACAGACACACAGACAGACAGAAACACAGACATAGAAGCAAGCAGACAAACAGACAAAGACACATACAGACACACAAACGGTCAGACGAATAAGTATTGAAACAGACGTAACAATGACGCTTGGTTTATACGTTAAAAAATATAAACATCAAAAAAATAAGCAAGATGTCGATGAAAAATTATACAAATTAATCAGAGTTAAAAATCGTTTAACAACAAACATGTCTCCCGATGATGATGGTGACGGTGATAATGGTGACGATGATGGTGATGGCATTAATAATGATTTCAAAAACGTTGTTGAAATGATAGTAAATGAGATGATGAACGTGATGATGTTGAAAATTGTGAAAATGACTATGACGACGATGACGACCATGGTCTCAGACAACGGCCCTACTAAAAATAAAAATATAAACTGCAGTAGTAGTAGTAGTAGTAGTAGTAGTAGTAGTAGTAGTAGTAGTAGTAGTAGTAGTAGTAGTAAAAATAGCAGCAAAAAAGTAGTAGCAGCAGCAGTAGTAGTAATAGCAAGTAACAACAGAGTGGTAGAGAACTTGGAAGTAGATAAATTATTTTCAGATGTTCGAATGCACATCTGTGCGGAGGACCACGTTGTTATTGTTGTGGTTATTGTGGCAATAGGACGAGGCAGTGACGATAATAATGATGAAAAACACGATGACGACGACGAAGACGATTATGATGTACAGAAAAGATGTACAGAATACATATGATGATGACAATGAGACCCTAACACGCACAGCATAATTGAATGCGGAAATGCAGATGATATAGTGAAACTAATGATAACAAGTAACCATATCATAAAAAAACAAATTAGCATGGCAACGAAAATGAAGTATCAACATCAAAAAAACAAGCCACCAATGATGATCTTACTCATGGAAACATCATCATTATTAGCTAGACACGTAATTTTATAATGTTGCTGATACATAACGACAAATGTTCTCAAAGTAAAATGATGATACCACCACCATCATTATCGCCATCGTCTCAATCACCATCATCTTAATCACAATCATCGTCATCACCATCACCCGCTATCTAACCTTTACATCCCTCACAGCTGAGTGTATTGTAGTGGTAACCAGACGCCTTGTCGCCGCAGATGACGCACAAATCTTCGTTGGAATGTTTTTTGATGACGTGACTGCGCGCAATTTGAGTGACCCTGGGCGGTTCTGGGGGCGGCGAACCCGTCAGAGAGATGGGGGTCAAAGATGGAAGAGGAGGACATTTTTCATTGAGCATGTTGCTGCCGCTGCTGTTACTGCAACTGCTGCTGCTGTTGGGAGTGCCGCAAGGTGTGGGCTGTTGTTGCAGCTGATGTTGTGGCTGCTGCTGCTGATAAATAAAGTGTTGGCTGTAGTCGCTACTGTGGTGGTGTTGTTTGTTAATTTCGTTGTGGGTGTTGACGGCGTAGTCGATTTCTTGGAGACCCATGTCGTTCTGCTGTTTTTGTTTATGATGTCGTTTGCGTTGCTCTTGTTGTTGCTGTCTATCAGGCTGTTCTATCTTTAATTTGCTGTAGAGTAACTTGAGATCTTGTGTGGGTGACGGATTTTCAGGTAGTTGTTGTTGAAAATGGTGATGCTGACGAGAATGTTGTTGTTGTTGTTGATGATGTAGAGAATGTTGTTGTTGTTGCTGCTGTTGCTGAGCGTAGTCTTGTTGGTATACGTAGCTAGTTAGCAGCTGTTGATAATGGTTGCTGGTGTGTTTTTTCTTGAAATTATGATAATTATGGTGACTGGGCTGAGAGTGTTTTACGTTATTTTGAAACTGCTGCAAAAAATGTTTTCTTAATTGATCTTTAGTTAAATGTTGAAGTTGTTGTTGCTGATATGTTAGTTGCTGATCTGTTTGTTGACCGATAGGAGTTGGCAAATTGTTAACATTAGCAATGGCAGTGTCTATTTCACATTGTGGATGTTTCAAAGTGTCAAAGTTTGTACTATTATTATTATTATTATTGTTGTTGTTGTTATTATTAGTATAAATTTCCGACGACGGCTCGTACAGTTCCTGATTAAAATGTTGCAACTGTTGTTGTTGTGGTAGTTGTTGCTTTCGTGGAACGCTGTTGAACATGTTCGCTAGTAGTCCACATAATTTTTATATATATAGTACATTTTTGGCTTCAACAAAAAGTCATAAAAAACTGTTTGATTAAACGATATTCTATTAAAACTAGAGAACTTTTCAAACATTCATTGAATAACAACAATCTAGCTAGATATAATTAAAATCGTATGAATAACGCACGAAAATATAGATGAGATCTTCATTCAATTGATACTTCACTCACTTATTTATTAGTTCTTCTACTTTTTATAACTATAAATTTATCACTTATAAAGTTCAACCGTCTAATAAAAAGCTCCGTCGAACGAAAGAGAGAGGGAGGGAGGGAGAGGAGAGAGAGAGAGAGACTCACAAATAAATATGATCAACGAGAGCAGCAGAAACATCGAAGTGATAAAATCGAGCAAACTTACAGTGTTATATATACACCAATTGAAATGTTTGTGTACTGTGTGCGAGTTATGTTCGTCGCATGCCTGCGTGCGTACGTGAGCGTCGGGTGTTATTTGTTACTTATTATGCATGTCATATGGCGTGCAGATGCACAAACAATAAGACAATGGAGTGCTTTGATAGATTAATAGGACATCTTACAACTGATTGTAAACAACGTTACGGCATTGAAAGACGAATGAATGATTGTGACCGATAATTTATTAAGCGAATGTAACTAAAAGGAGAGAGTAAGATAGTGAAGGTTGACAGGAACGATCTGCAAGGATTTTTCATTGAAATTTCAGCAAATCTCACTTAAATTAATAGAAGTTATTAGCTATTGAAACATTGCGTAATATGAAAAAAAACTGAATAAAAGAAACATCAATTCACAATAAACTACATCAACATATATCAGATGTTTTATAAGAACTCAGCGTGAAAGAATAAGCCGAGTTAAACTTAAGAACAATTACAACAGAAAAATTAGCATTTATTCGCACATAGAGACTGTTCGTTACTTTGTCTCATCTTTAAAAAAACATTTTTTTTTATATAAAAAAAACTAAATCTGCACAACGTATGACTGAATATCACTGATTGTATTTGTAGAATTAGAGGAGGGATTTTCAAACGCAACCAAAAAGAAAAACTAATAAAAAGAGAGATATACTCACGAGGATGCAATTTGCGAAAAATAAGAAAATTATTTCTGGTTTGAATATAAAGAAAATTTGAATGAGAATTTTATAGTTTGAAAAAAGAATCGCAAATGCATTTCTTGCGAAACTACGTTAGACAACAATAAAAAAAGGATTATTTTGTAAGAAAACATTAATATGAACTTAATTAATATCAACTATAATAAAACGAATAAAACATTAAATAGTTATTATTAGTGGATGGTTTTGTTAGAAAAATACAAAAATAAATAAATCAAATAAATTACATCTTATGGATAGAAACATTATCAAAAAAAAACATCATTTCAACACAACAAACAAAAATAGGACGCGAAAACAAAATTTTTCTCTAAAAACCGGACGATCTAAACAATAAGAAGGTATGCCCTAGTTTGATCCTACTGAAGATCGGCATAAAAAACAGTGAAAACTAGACTATGTTTTATGCATGTGTATGTATATATGTGTGTGTATCCTATATACACATACATATGTGTGTATATATATATATTCATACATATATGTGCGTGCGTGTGTACGAATCTATATTGCTCGCACGCTTAGTAATACATCAATTTATATTCATCTCAAAGCACTTGTCCTCTCCTAAACACACATATAAGCTGCATGATGTTTTGGTGAACAAGGCATTGGAGTGGTGTGGTTTTTAAATGCATGCCATACATGCAACGATCTAGTTGGTTTTGTATGTTTATCATTTGGCCGTTTTCTAACAATCATACAAGCTTCAAGTGTTGCACCTAGCCTATGTGCAAAACGAGCAAAGGCTTGCTCGTACACAACCTTGTAAATGCATGTGGGCATTTTTTAGAGGAATAAATTTGCTAAAGTGAATGTGCATCACATGTGACCAGTGCAAAATCTGGCAAAAAACAAAGGACCTGTGTTTTGCTTTCTTCTGGGTCATATAAACATCTTCTATACAATCATCTGTACATACATACACATATGGAAGTATATACATACACGAATGGCAAGTTGACATGTATCTGACGCACAAAATAAGATTTTCACTTCAGTAAATGTTTGTTTGTTTGTTAAAAGAGAACATTACTGAACTTTGATAACATCGTCCTCCGCAGAACAACGAACGAGCAACAGTGATAAACAACTCTATAAAATATTTAGGCGCCTTAAAAATTATAAACGTCATTTACTCTTTTTATTTATTGCGTTGCAGTTCGTATAAGGTGAACGTTGAACGGTGCGTTAATATTAATAACAAGGGGTAATATAAGGTAGGGTTTTCATTAATAAATTATAATAAAAAGTTATATCAATGTTTATAGTTTTCTTTATACACTTCTGTGAAAATAAATGTTTACTTGTCTGTCTAAATATCATATTTTGGTACGACTTGATAAATCTTCCAACACATATCTCATTTTTATCACTCTTTTTATTCGGCTTTCCTACCTATTCACAATTTTTTTTCACTTTCCAAGTAACCTTCCGAAATATATTTTTTTACTTGATACTTCCACTCTTCAAATTACAATGGCAAAATGTTTTTAACTGCTAGTATCAAACTGATCAAATCGTTTTATTGTCTATCTTTTACGAAATATGAACTGCCAAAGCCTGATCATCATTTCAAAAACCTCAGGAAAACCTTCCGAAAAAAAAGAAGACTCGAAGAATTTAAAATCGCATACGCTTCTATATCCTGTTTTTGTTTCTGTGGCTCTTTAAAAAAAACTTCAACTTCAACTCTAGCTAAACATGGCGACCGAAACAGCACAGAACTAATTTAATTTATTCACATAGCGATTTGGAGCAAGTTAGTTAACATGAATACAGACGATCTTAACTACGTAAACGAAGGTTAAAACAAACATACCTTGGCAGTCATTCAAATTCAAAACTAAGCCGACATAACATAAACCTTAACGGCGTTTGAAAAATCTTAAAAATTTAATGCGTCCACTGAAAAATAAAGATAAAATATCTTACATCGCAATAAAAAAAAATAAAATAATGGAAACATTCACAAGCACATTTTGTTAACGTTCGTAAATACAACAACCCATGTTTCAGACACGACTTTTTATGACAAAACTGCAGCTGATCAGGCGTGGACTTTAGCAAAAAAAAATCTTCTTAACAACTGGGCCAATCGCACAAGTACGAGAAATAGAGTATGAAATTGAACCAATGAAATAATTGAATGGGCAGACTCCAATTATAGAAATCATTATATCTAGTGGTGGAATAAAATTGTTTTGCTAATTTTTATTAAATAATTTATGCGGTACCAAGTAAATATTTCGTAGGATGAAAACCATAAAAATCAAATTGTTGAAGCAAAAAATTTGACATTCAATATGAAATTTAAATGAATTTTTTCAATTCTAAAAAAAAACGTAATCAAATAGTCCTCACATGTGCAGACCACCAAGATATATACATCTATAATGTATTATGTATAGATATACATATAAGACTTAGTTGTTTACTCATTTAATTGTTATAATATTGCACATAATACTCGCTGAAGTGTATATTTAATACATCAATATATACTGTATACAATATGATTAATATAAACTATATACAATATATATAACATATTATATTCACAATATATACTATACACAATATATTCTATATAAAATATATATTATATACAATACATACTAAATACAATATATATTATGTACAATACATACTATACACAATATATACTACATTCAATATATACTGTATACAATACAAACTAGATACAAAATATACCACATAGTACGCATGTGAGTGAACTTCTTCTGAAACACCTTTTAAGCGTATCAACTTTTTCTTATCACACACACGCACGCATACACAAACAAATGCATATATATATATATATATATATATATATATATATATATACTTGAGCATTTGGCCACATACACAACGTATCAATTCGGACACCGAAGATGGTATAGAAATACCGAGAAAAATTTTCTACTCTATCATGTTTAAATTTTAAATTAAATAAAAATGTTGGTTTTGAACACAAGAAACTTATATACAAATACAGAAATACAC